GGAGTCATTGGAGGTCTTGTACTTGCCTTCAACCTGAATCCAGCTCTGACAACTGGCAATTATTTCTACAAGAAGAGACCATTGGCCAATGGACTAGCGATGGCAGGAATCTCTCTGTGTTCTTTCTAATTCCTTTCTACCCTGACCCCCATCATTCAGGCTTTCTTCAGTATTTTTGGCTGAAGAAGAGACTTCTTAATTCTTGGCAGTCTCCTCCAAAACTGCTGTGTAGCTGGATCCCTGATGTGTCCGATAGGAGCCAAGCCAGCCATGACAGGAAAAGTTAATGCTAAAGAATCCCTTCAAGAAGCTGGAAAATCTGATGCAAAAAAAAAAAAAAAAAAAAAAAAAAAAGATGCAGGTGATGAAAATTTAGATCTCATTGAAGGAAACCCCCAAAAGGAAAAGTTGTCAGTTTTCCAAAAAGGTAATGAACAAGGGGCCTCTTGTTTTTGTTCTGACTGAGCTCTGCCACTTATGTAACTGGATCTGATAAGTGATTCTCAAATACTAATACACAATAGTCTCCTTTATCTGTGATTGTACTTTCTGTAGTTTCTCTTACTTGAGATCTGAACATATTAAATTGGAAAATCCCAGAAAAAGATAATCTGTAAGTTTTATACTGTAACTTACCTATATTTTACTTATTGTTGTTAATCTGTTACTGTGCCTGCTTTATAAATAAATTTTGGATAGCAATACTACCTCCTATCCATGGTTTTAGCCATCCACATGGACTCTTGAAATGCATTTCCTAGCCCCTGTAGATAAGAGGGATTACTGCAGACCAAATCAGGAATATGACACTGATTAACTCAGTTTTCCCCTTACATTTATACTTGTATACCTGGTGAACTATGAAATGACTTCTTCCTTCTAACACACATACATAGTATCCTCAAAAGAAAACCAAATTCCTCACGCTCCTGATGCTGCTCTGTGGGTTATAATGTGGGGGTTCCAGCACCCATTATTATGTCTACATTCTAGCGAGGGAAAGAGGAAGGCTTATGTTTCCATTTCTTAGAAGTATTGGTGGTTTTTTCAAGGAACCCTTGGGTTTCTTCCAGCTTCACTGGTTGCTACTTTTCCTTTTTTCTGCAGATCCTTCCTCTTTACTCCAATCTTAGGGCTGGATGGGCCTGGAGCTCAATCCAGCCTGCCCTATTGTCCCTCCTTCCATCTGCACCCCTTCTTTTGATGAGTTTGTGGCTTTAAACAGATTGTCTTCATGTGAATGATTCTCACAGTTACAGCTCCAGCCCATAACTCAGATTTGTATATCAATCTATTTCCTTCACATCCCGCTTAGCTGCTGATGCCTCTCCCTGCAGACCTGCTCCCTGCTCAGCTCTCTTCACTCATTCCTCCCTCTGCCAATGGCAGCTGTTCCCCAGGCACTCGGGCCAGCACCAGGAGTTGTGTTTGGCTCCTCTGGCATACCCACCGACTGGTGTCTGAGGACATTCTGGTAGCCTTACCTTACCTACATATCCGCATTCTGACAGCTCTAACACCATAGTCTGAGGCACTGCTCACTCTCATCCAACTAACTGCAGCACCCTAACCATCTATGTGTTTCTCCACAGACTTCTGTCCACTCAGAGGCCAGAGGAACACTTCCCAAGCCAGATCGGGTGCTCAAAATCCTTCAGTGCTTCCTACTGCACTCAAAAGGAAAGCAGAGGCTGTATGTGGTCAGCCTTCTCCTCCTGGATCCACCTAGAATTTTCTCCCTCTTGGCTACACTCCTGCGACTCAGGCCTTCTTGCAGTTCCTCAAATACTACATCAGCGCGCTCTACTTCAGGCCTTTGTGGTTTGCTCATCCTCTTTCTCAACGGCAGGGCTCCTCCACTGACCCCCTTCAAATCTTTCCTTGAATCTGTTCTCAGAGAGGCCTGCTGACCATGCCATTGAGCAACCCCAGCCCTCACTGCCCCCAAACCCCTTCACCTACTGTACCCTCTTCTTAATGGCACTTATCACCTTGTAAAATCCACAATTTAGTTAGGTATTATGCTTGTTGTATGTCTCTCTCTCCTACAACATAAGCTCCACAGAATCAAGGATCTTTGTGTGTTTTATTCACTAATGCCCACTAGGTGCCCACTAGAGTTCTTGGCATTTAGTAGGTGCTCAATAAATATTTTTAAGTGGATAAGTAGATGAATGGAATACAGTTTTTCACTGGATAGTGATATCCCCTGCTAATTCTCGACTATGAGAATGGTGGGAAATATGTGAGTACTGTGAGCTGGGCTGGGCAGGAGGCCTGAAAGCACCTTTGCAATATGCAGAGAGAAGAGTATTTAGAAAGACCAGTCTGCGTAGCACAACCAAGATAACACTTAATGTTTAAGGGGTGGTACTTTAGCTCTGATGTGCAAATTTTTCTGCCCTGGGAAGTCATAGCCTTCAACTGGAACCCAGTTGACAGCCCTGGAGCAGTGGGTTTATATCTCGACAGGCTCAACCACCTTTTGATGGGAGTTACAGGGTGGGGAAACAGTGACTGTTTGTCTTTATCCTAGACACCAATCTCTATCACCCATACTAAAACATACATTTTACTCCTCCCAACTTTTACAAGAAAGGTCACTGGTTCCCTGTTGACTCCCACACCCACAACAAACTTTGCTGCCTGTCTTAAAAGATCTTTAATCCAACACAACTCTCTTTAAATTAACCATTAATTCCAGCAGGGTTGAGTCCTCCACCCCACGACAGGACACTCTTAACAGCTTCCCACACACTCTTCCTGACCCTGATGTTCCCCCTTACTCATCACATCCTTCTCTTCTATTGTTTACTCTCTGAAAGCCCCAACAGGCATCTGTCTCGTCCTTTAATTATCTACCACCCCTAGATCTTGACCATGTATTCACAGAAACATTTTATGAGCACCTTGTACAGGTATGATACACAGTCTGGTCTCAGATCTAACGCTAGATATTCAGGGATGAAAGCACTGTCACGCTGCCTGAGGGAAACAATGAGAAGACAGGTGATTACTTTGGGACAGGCTGCTTTGGCAGCAGAGGAAGGCATCTAACCCAGAGAGGCCAGGGTGGCAAAGGTGCATGGAAGGACGTGACACTGACTGAGAAAGAAGGGGCCAGAAGAACTTGTGCATATTTACATACGACTATGACACATTCTTTTAAAAAACTTTTTACAATCACAGTATTTCTGTGAATTGCAGAATACACCATGTTAACATAGGTCATGTTGGCATATAAAGTTTATTTTTAGCTAATGTTACCTGAAAAACAACAGAGGCAAGAAGGGCATTTTTTTTTTTTTTGCTTTAAAAAAAATCCATGTTATTCATACATAAAAAGAAGAGAGAAGAAAGAAGAAAAACAACAAAATTTTAAAGTACACCAATTAGAGGGTAAAAATGGTACATACATTGAGCATTGCCATCCCCAAATCATTCACTCAGAGCACAAGGTATCTGCCTTCAATTGTCCAAAGACTACCAGCACAAATCTTTCTCTTTGGTGAACTTAGAGAATCAGTGATATATCTATCTTAACTTTTTAATATATATATATATACATGTTTTTTCTTTCAGCTTGTCACACTAATGAAACAATACAATGTTTACACGTGTGTCTTATTTCACTAATGAGTATGCTCTCAGGGTGCACCCATTTACCTATAAAAGTGTCCAAATTATCATTCCTTATGGCCTAGTGCTCCATTATATAATGATAACACATCTTTTTTTACCCACCCCTCAGTAGATGGGCATGTAGGTTGTTTCCGAGATTTGGCTATTACAAACTGTGCTGCTATAAACACATATATCACTGTGTTATGATCTTTTTTATTCTTTTGGGAAGATACCCAGAAGTGGAATATCTGGGTCAAATGGGACTTCCAATCCTAGTTTTTTGAGGAATCTCCACACTGATTTTCACAGTGGTTATACCAGTGTGCATTGGCACCAACACTGGAGAAGAGTTCCTTTTTCCCCACAGCCCCTCCAACATTGTTATTGATTTCTTGATATTAGCCATTCTTTCCGGGCTGAAGTAGAACCTCAGTGTTGTTTTAATTTGCATCTCTTAAATGACCAGTGATGTTGAACATTTTTCTCCATATTTATTTGCTACAGGGCGAATGCAAAGATTGTGTCTACTGAGCATAAACATGTATGGATTTCGGTTAGTTTTACCGAGTTTAGAAGCCACTCCACTTGAGTTAGGCAGCGTGGACTTAGCAGCCCTGACCCTTCTGGAAAGGATACCCAAATCCCTGTCGGACTCTTGGGGAGTGGAACATTTGCCCCGCTACCGCGGAGACGAGAGGCTTTGCAAAAAACCTGCTCCCGAGACTAAACCCTGGGAAGAAAACCCAGCAAACACTGTGATCAGATACTAGTTTAATATTAAAGATGGTTTTCTCATCTCTCTTACTTCTCCATGTTCGGCCATGTATTTTTTTTCAGTGAAAAAATTTTAGGCCCTTTTCAAAAACCAAAAACCTCTTAAACATCGTCCCTGTTCGCAAAGCTCTTTTAAAAAACAAGTATTTGGGCCGCCTCACAGCGTTACGACTTGGACCAGATGAAAGTCCAAAAAGACAGGAATAGCTACAAATCAGCAGGCGCCGCTTCCCCAACCCCTTGCCTAAGTCAGCAGCTCTGACTCGGGCGCCGCTAACAGGGTTCCCCATCGCTTTCCCGGCCGCCAGGCCCCACCTCGTGGGACCCCAAGGAGGCCCCGCCTCCCGGCCACAAACTCAACGCCGCAGGTGCACACCCACCCCGCCCCCAGTGGACGCAAGCACGCAAGCACGCAAGCACGCTCGCACGCCCGGCGCGCGCATCCGCCTTCCCGCCGGGAGCCCCGCCCCAAGGTGCCTCCTGCCCCGCCCCCGGCCGGATCCCGGTTCCCCGAGAGCAGGCGCGCTGGCCCCGCGCCGAAAGCTCCGCCTCTAGATACCCGTCGACACCGCCTCTTGCACCTGTCGCGCTCTCTGGGCACGCGTTGCACGGCCCGGTGGCCCCGCCCCTGGCGCGCGACCGCCCCCCACATGCCACGTGCTCGTCCAGGGGCGGCGCCAGGCGCACGCGGAGAAGATGTTCTGGCTGCCTCTTCCGGCTGCCGGGCGAGTCGTCGTCCGACGTCTAGGCGTGAGGCGTCTCTCCGTCCGGGGTCTAGCCGCTGCAGACATGACGAAGGTGAGAGGCCCGCGGGGACCCTGGCCGCGGGCGATCGGGGCTGCCAGGCAAGCCCTGGCGCAATATCCGCGGCTTCTGCGATGAGTTGGAAAAATCTGCTCCGTAAAGAAAGTTCTCTGGCTTTGCCGAGATCTGCCTCGGCAGCAGAGGGGAACGTCGAGGGCTGCCGGTGCCCCGCTGGCTCTTTTCGAGGGGTGCGCTGTTTTCTTCCTCCTACCTTAGAAGCACTCGGTTCTGATCCCCAAACAGGAGGATGGTGGCTGCGCTGAGGTCTTGGTTCCATTCATTTATTGAGTTCCTTAGTTCATCCATCATTTTGTGTAGTTCTTGCCATAACCCAAGAAGGGATGGTGGCAGGATTTTCCTGGGCGTCTTCTGAGAACCCGGGCCCAGGTCAGTCTCTGGCCCCAGGCTCCGCACCGCAAGCCCTCCCCGCCAGCTGAAGATCTGGGGCCAGACCCTGCGGGGTGGGGGGAGTTGCTTAAGAGCGTTGCCAGACAGATGCCGAGGATGGCCTGTAGGGAAAAGGGGTTTGAGGAGAGATGGGTCATCTCCGGAAATTAAGAGTGCCTTTAAGAGGAAAAGCTGTGTGCGCCTTATCTGGGCCATGAGAAGTGATGAAGGACGCTCTTCAGACTCAAAAGATCTGGAAAGGGGTGTGTCCCAGTGAAAGGAGCCCAAACTGGGGAGATATGCAGGACCACAGAGATGATTGTCCTTGGAGAGGAATGTTCTCGATGAGGCTAGACTTAGGTCCCTGAGAGCAGCACGGATAGTAGAGGGACCACACAGACAGACATCTATACAGTGCTCTTTCCAGTACTGTGCTTCTTGTCCTCTCAGTTCTTAACCGATCCCAGGAGCAAGCCTTAGGCAGTTACCAGTGTGCAGAGAGCCTGCCGTCTTTGTGGCAAAGACAGAAAAAAAAGGACTGCTTGTTCTAATTACTTGTGATTTTGAAGGACAGAGTGAAGCCTTCTGGACTGTCTCAGTTTTACTCCCCAGGCACTAGTGTGATACCGGGTATCAGTTTCCTTGTCAAGAGACAAACAGACTTAGGATTCTTTTCAGACTAGTGGCCCTTAGGCAAGAATTCCCTGTAAAAGGAAACAGTGAGCCCAGCGGCTTTTTTCTGTATTTCAGGGGTCTGAGACCTGAGGCTTGTAACTAGGTGCTTGGCTGAATGCTAAATTGCACACTTGTTATCTTTCACCCTGAGGTGGTTAGGCTACTTACTGTTTTATAGGCTAAGAATTCCCTAGTCTGAAAATTAGAAATCTGAAATACTCCAAAATCCAAAAATTTTTGAGCACCAAAAGATTCTGCATAGGTCCTCATGTGAGGTTGCCCGCAAAACACACACAATTATTTGAAGTGTTGTATCTTCAGGCTGTATGTGTGTGTGTGTGTGTGTGCATATATATATATATAGTATACGTGAATTTTATGTTTAGAGTTGGGTCTCATTCCCCAGATAACTCAAATATGAAAATCTGAAGAACACTTCAGCTCCCAGGCCTGTTAGAGAAGGGGAACGCAACCTGCAGTGACAGCGTAAACATTATCTTCATTGGGATGATGTTCTAGAATGTCAGAGATTTGCATTTGAGGGCTGTAGGGAAGGATAAAAACCTTCTACCCTCCTGGGTTCTAAGGCTGGGTCTAAGAATTAAACTGACATAAGAAATTTACTTGTGCATAGGAATCTGCAAAAGAAAAATGAAGACCTGAAAGTATTGAGGATTGAACCCAGGGCCTTTGCACTGAGCTAAATATTCAATCCATTGTTTTTAAAAATGTCTTATTTCAGTCTCCAATTTACAATCTTCCTGCTTCAGTGTTCAAGAATTCTAGGATTACAGGTGTGCATAATTATGCCCCCAACTGCTTATATTCTTTTTTAAAGGAAGAAGGGTAAATTTGGGGAGTGTGACAGTACAAAGGGATTTGCCTCCTTTGTAAGACAGAGGCATGGGATGAAGAAATACAGAGTTGCGGGGAGGCTAATGGAAATAAGGCTTATTTCAGCAGGTTTATTTGTACAGAATCATTTGGATCAGTTCCCAGTCTCTGGTGATAAGAATGTTCTATTCTTCCTGGTATAGGGAAGGCTTCTTTCTCATGGGAACTAAGTTTTATAACCTGCCTTTAGGTAAAAAAGGGGGTGTCCAAGAGCCCCGCCTGCCTCTGCCGCCTCTGATTATTCTGAGCTGAATACCAACAGCTCAGGGTAATCCATATGCCAGAGTGGCATATTTTGGCTTTGCACACTCTAAACGTATTCAGTGTCTCACTTGCTGACAAATGGATTTGTTTTCTTAAAGAAAACCTTTGTGTTCTGTTTGAAAGTGAGCTCTTTCTTGGGGATGGCTATGAAAACTCAGTAAAAGTTGTGGGAGAGGTAGGGATGGGTAGTAATTCCAGTCTTGCTTTGCTAAGAATTTGAATCACAGTGGCAGGATGCACACTTAACGTGGCTGCCAGTTGGTGGCTGCTGCTGTATGGGCTTTATTCTTTGGTCCTTGGGAAAGTCACAGTATTGGTTGAATCGCTTGCTCTTTCTAAAGGTAGGAGCTGTTGAGCCACCCTAGGTAGTTACTTATCATATTTATCTTTCTTGCTTGTTCTCAGGGCCTTGTCCTAGGAGTCTATGCCAAAGACAAAGAAGATGATGTGCCACAGTTTACAAGTGCAGGAGAGAATTTCAATAAATTGGTGGATGGAAAGTTGAGAGATATTTTGAACATGTAAGTGTTCCAGAGAGTTTTAGTTCAAAAGGCTCCCAGATCTAAAAAACATATTTTTCCATGCTTTATTGTCATTAAATAAAATGCACGGAAATACCTAGGCCAGGAACTTGATAGTGGAAGTGAAAGTAAGGGTCTGAAAGTCTGAAAGTATGGGTGGACCTGCAATTCTGAGAAGTCATACCATTTCCCAGTCATTCACAGACTATTGTGAAAGATTGATCCAGAAGGATCTGGAAAGTACCAGACTTCTTCAGCCTACCCCCCCTTCCCTGCCTGTCTTCCCAGCAGGCTTTTTGTGTCCTTTAACTGAATAAAAACAGCCTAAGCCTTCTGCCCTTCCATTTCACAGCTGGAGCTTGAAGGCTTTTCAGATATTAAAGTACACCTGGTCACTTAAGGCTGTGGTAAGAATGCAGATTCTAGCAGGGCACAGTGGCACATGCCTATAATCCAAAATCTAATCCGTTAGAGTTCAGAACACCCTGATCGTCCGCCTGCTGCTTGTGGGCTGTAGCTCCAGAGCGTCTGTGCTTCCATCTTCTGGCTACAGTGGAGCATCTGTTTGGTTTGGAAATCTCCAGTGGTCTCCTGTCTGCATATGTGCCCCCACCAACCACCTCGGAGCCACGCTGCAGTCTGCAGTCTTGTTGATGGCTTGGTGTTCTGTGTTCTTCTTTTAAGTGAGAAAGGCTCTACTTCTGTAGTCTAGGCTAGTCTTCAGCTTGTCACCCTCCTGCCTCAGCCTCCCAAGTGCTGGGATTACTGGCATGAGCCACCATGTCCGGCTGGTCTTTTAGTGGGAAAACCTGAGATTCTTTCTGTTCAGCAGTGATCCAGCGCTCACATCCTCGGGGTGACTGTACCTTGCCTGTCCACTTGCTCTGAGGGCCAGGAGTGCGGCTCCGTGGTAGAATAAAAGTACTTGGCTAGCATTTATAAGACTCCAGGTTTAGACCCTTGTACAGCAAAAAATCAAGACTCTGAAAGTTTTGCTAACTACTTGGAGAGTTTTTGAGCTAGAATTAGAGAAGTTTTATATGTAAGAAGCCTAGCCTGAGAGCATTCCGTAAAAGCCTAAATCTACAGAAACAGAATATAGTGATAACACTAAAGGTATGTATATATCAGCTCTCAAGCAAACTGACTGAAGCTGTTATATTTAAAGTAATCATTTCCTCTTGTTTTAGATCTGGACCACCTCTGAAAACAGGCAAAACTCGAACCTTTTATGGTCTGCATCAGGTAGGAGATAAGATCATACTCGTCAGTGAGGCCTCCTGGGTGCCTGAACTGTGGCCTCCCAGTCACGGAACTGAACATTTTGTATTGGATCAGTTAGCTTTATTGCAGAAGTAAACACAAGATAGACATTGCCTGTTGTGTGCTCCATCAAAGCCTTTGTTCAGTTATGTGGCAGAGTCTTATGAAACTTTTTTTTGCCTAATTTTTCTCACTGCCTTTCATACATTACAAAATTTTACTGAGACACAAGGCTTCTTGTGCCAGGGCTAAAATAACTGGGTGGAAACTGAGTGGGTCTCTCAGTATGGATCATTGCTGGCTGGGAGTGAGCTGGTAAGGAAACCCGGGGATTGACGCAGTGCCTTTGTGGAACAGGACTTCCCCAGCGTGGTGGTGGTTGGCCTCGGCAAGAGGGCAGCAGGGGTGGATGAGCAGGAGAACTGGCACGAAGGCAAGGAAAACATCAGAGCTGCCATCGCAGGTGACTTCTTACATCTCTCACAGGGACGCAGGTTCTCCAGGGTCCCCTCCTTAAGGAACTGTCTCGTTCCCTTTGCCATTTCCCCTCACCGTCTTTACTGCATTTACACAGGCATAACTCAGCTTAATGAATTCAGTGTTCCTCCTCATGTGTGCTGAACTTACAGTAGATATATTTTGCTTTTAATATTTCTGTATTTTTTGTTGGGAGGTTTCACTACCATTTGTTCACTTTTACTACATTGATATTCTGCCAGAAGTGGAGTGTGGGTTTTTCACCTTTTTGGAATGCAATCCTGGTGTTGCCCTACTTTTAAATAATATGCAGTCATGGTATTTATGAGTTGGAGAAAGCAAGAGCAGAGTTCGGGGTGCTTGTGCATCACTAGCGAGGGCGTGGGCCGGGCCCACTTTGTCAGATGGGCGGCGGGAAAGTGCTGTGGTGCTGTCTGCTCTGAGCCACAGGAGTCCTTGGCAGAGAGGCTGGGATCAGGAAGAAAGTAGTTAGAAAACTTTCCGCAGCAACATAGTTGGCATGGTTAATCCTTGGTCCTGTGTGTATCATAAATGCTCATTAAATTTGCTTTTAAGGTTTACACTAAGTGGTTATTTTGTAACTTTTATTTGAGAGTTTTTGCTGACCTGATCGTCATAAAATGCTGTATTAATGGCCTTTGTAGGTTCCCTGCATTTAATGTGTCATCATTCCTCTGTCTCTTGATCTGTGGAACTCTTGGTGCTTGGAAGGCTTTATGGAAAAATGCTAGTGTTTCAGAAAGCAATGGCTGGAACAGCCGTTGTTGATCCCCCAGGGCACTCCGTTGGCTTTACCGGGTGGGAATGGAGTTCAGAACAGCGGTGTCAGGGCGAGGACTGGGACCCCAGTCCTGTCTCCTCAGCACACTGCTCCTGGTCTCTGCCTCCTGCTGTTTCAGCTGTCTCTGACTGACTCCTGGTTTCTGGTTCCTCTGTCCTTCCCTAGCGGGCTGCAGGCAGGTTCAAGACCTGGAGCTGTCCTCTGTAGAGGTGGATCCCTGTGGAGATGCCCAGGCTGCTGCGGAAGGCGCAGTGCTGGGTCTCTATGAGTACGATGAGCTGAAGCAACGAAAGAAGACAGGGGTGTCAGCGAAACTCTATGGAAGGTGAGGAGGGTGGCACTCCCTGGCCTCCCCACGGTGTAGCCTCCTGACCACGAGCTGCCTGCTTCTCCAGTGCCAGGCGCTGCTCCTGGCTCTTGACTCCCTGGACCCCACCACATGCGCTTGTTATGGGCAGCCTTGAGCAAAGTGGCTCCTCCCTGAGGAGGACAGACAGGTGCTGCTTTCAGTTCAGTTTTCATGCAGCTACCATGTGCTGACCAAGCTGCCTGGATGAAGGATGAGGTCTTCGGCCCAAAAGTCTGAGAAGGAAGGCTTCTGGCAGATCTTAGGGCAGCCGTGACATTCTGGTCCTCTTCCAGGTTTGGAAGATGAGGTCCCTGCTGTGAGAAATGAGACTCCAATGTGAGGAGCTATGAGGGCAGTGGGGGGCTCTTGGCACAGCCTGGATTGGAAGCTGTAAGGAAGTCATCAGGAATGAGCCTTGCTTGAATCCTGGCTCTCCCATTTACTCCCATTGACGTCTGCTAAGTGGCCAAAGTGTCTGTAAAGCCATTCTGCCAATTTCGGAGGTTTTGTGGCACCTTCTAGACCCACTGAACCATTAGCTGCTATTTTGTGCATCTCCAGGCTGCTCATAGTAACCCTGTGGTAACAAGAAAAGCCAGAGCCTAAAACACATACCACTGTGTGTTCCATGGCATCTAGGGGTTTTAGATATAGACCTGACCCTGGCAGAAGGTGGCAAAGCCTCGGTTCCACATCCCAGTGGTTGCCAGGTGCTCCCTTCACAGTTAGCACCTGGGCTGCATTGTGCCTGTTGCGGTGAGGGAGAACAAAGGGATCCTCTCCTGGGAGCCCCTCCATCAGCTTTGGGGTAGTTTATCCTTTAGGCATGTAAGTCCACCCGCTGTGTTGTGTGAGAGAAGGTTCTGAAGTGGACTGCTCAGCACCTCTTCCAGGCTATCAGCGGCTCTTTATTTCTAGCTCCTTGTACCATGCTGCCTGCTCCTGGCTCACATCACACTCACGCTCAGTGTGTCAGTCAAGCTTCATTTGTAGTCTTGCTCTTGTTCTTGTAAACTTGGAGCACTCTGGCTGCAGCATAGTCTGTGTTCTTGAAAAATTGTTCGGCAGTGACTCTGCTTCCTTCCCCAGTGGAGATCAGGAGGCCTGGCAGAGAGGAGTCCTCTTCGCCTCAGGGCAGAACTTGGCGCGCCAGCTGATGGAGAGTCCAGCCAATGAGATGACTCCGACCAGGTTTGCCGAAATTATTGAGAAGCGTCTCAGAAGTGCTAGCAGTAAAACAGAGGTCCATATCAGGTAATTCAGAATTATGTCACATTCATAAGAGGTTACCGCCATAAAGACTCTTAAGCCCAACTTCCTGTATATTCAGAGGGAGACCAGACAGGGAGGTGACCAGCCACCAGCCACACAGAAGTGGGTGTATCATGACTTCACACTGCATACTGTGGATGTGTGCCTTGTATCAGCTTGACTGAGACATGTTTAGTCCGGTATAGTTCACCCATCTATTGTGTGATTCAGTGTTGTAGTGTATTCACATAGTTGTGCAACAGGCTATTTTAAGAACATTTCAGCACCCCAGAAGAAATCTTGTATTTATTAGAAATCTCCCCCTTTTCTCATCCCCAGAAGCTGTCAGTAGATAGACTTGGTTGGTTCCATCTTATGGATACTGTGAAGAAGGCTGCTGTGAGCAGTTGTGCATAAGTTTTTGTGTGGATTTTTTTTAGTATATATTTGGGAGTTGAATTCTTCATCAGCTTTCATGTTTGGATGAATTTTTCCTGTCCTTTTTTGTTCCACCTTTTGACACAGTGTAGAATGCAGCCTGTCTAAGTAGGCATAGATCGAGAACTTGTGCCTCCGGATTCCCTTAGCTAGACTGCAGGATGGATGCTTCCAGCCTCCTGAGGACAGTGGTCATGCTGAGCTGTTAGACCCGAAGGCCTGCTGTTCCAGGTTCTAGTCCCTTTTTGGTATCTACACATGGCCCTTTAAGCAATCAAAGTTTGAGCATTTGGGCTTTATGATTAAAACAAATAGATATTTCCTTGACCTAAAGAATTCTTCATTATCCAGGTTGTTTTTCAAGGGAATCTCTATTTAGAAAAATTCTTCAGTAGTGAATTGTGATTAGAGTTTTTCAGGAGAGCCCCTACAGTATAGATAGAATGGGAAAAAAATGTATAACCTGTAGAAAACATGGGACTTAGAGTTTGCTAAAATCTCTGCAATGGTTCGTATATGTTCACTCTGTACCAGTGTAGGTCCTGTAACAAACAGAGACTAGCCTTTGTTGTGTGATGAGACCGTGGAGCTAATTAGTGTCACCAAATAGTGCAGTGCTGCTAGACATCACCTGCACAGTGCTCGGCATAGTGAGGTGTGCAGCTGTGGTCCTTGTCCTCACAGAAGTGAGGATCTCACAGGGAGAACCACCTGGTAAGCACGGTAAAGGGAGGGTGCCGCAGGAGCAGAGGGGAGAAGAGACTGCGAGAATAAGGAGCCTGAGCTGGCGGCTTAGCCATGGAGACAGGCAGGTCAGGGGTGAAGGCAGCTGTGCAGCAGCTGGTGGGAAACTGTGATGCCTGACGGTGGTGAGCAGGGCAGAGAGTTCAGGCACAGGCAGGACGGGCGGCAGGTGTCAAGCTGGGACACGGCTGTACCGAGCCCTGTCCAGTGTCAGTGGGTCTGCACTGATGAAGCAGATGGCTCTTCAGAAGCGCAGGACTTCAGTAAAGTGCCAGGTACTAGTGTGATCAGAAATGCATGCGGAGCAAAGCCCTGCTTCTTTGTGAAGTGATTTTTTAGTGTTCATATTCTTTTCCCTTTCAAGTTCCAGGCAGTCTTTATTTCATAGTTGTAACACACAGGGGCGGGGTAAGTGCAGGAGTGTCCTGGAGCCGACGGCTGCTTGCCCATCCATGGGAGGTGAGGCTGGTTCCGCTCCCCTTGGTGCTCTTAGCCCGGAAAGAGTAGCAGTGCCATATACATTGTCTAGTTGCGCCAATGATTCTTTCTAGTCTGTTGCCTCAATGAGGTGTCTTTTCCCACTGAAGACTCTTCTCACATTACAAAAGGAACTGTGACAATGTTGAGAAACTAGGAGTCTAGCAATTCTAAAAAATGCCAACAAATAGGGTATTTTATTCTAGCCAGTATTGTATATCTTTGTTGGGGTTTTGTGATTGATTCACTTAGTGGTTTGTTTTGGAAACACCAAAAAAATAATGAATGCCTTAACTACTTTTTTTTTTTGGTGCCGGGGATTGAACTCATCACCTTGGCTTGCCTGGCAGGCACTTGAGCCACTGAGCTAAATCCCAAGTGCCTTAACTACCTTTAAGCATCCTTTGTGGTCTCAGAGCTTTGTTAATTTCATCTTTAAAAGTTTGGAAATACCTGAGTGGGCTGGTACAGGGATTATGTTTATTAACTGTACAGTATGACTCTATGTCATATAAGTTACATTTGAATTCTCTTAGTGGAATAGCCCTTGACTTCATCCTTCTGATGAGGAAGGAGGTTTGGAATCAGGTAACGTGCTTAAGAATATACAGAAATAATGATAGGATGGTATAATTGGAGCCTTAAGAGTATGTATACTCTTAAATACATTTTTCTTCTCTTTTTTTATGCTGGAGCTCAAACCCAGGGCTTTACACATATGCCAAGCAGGTATTCTACCACTGAGCTACACATCCAGCTATGAATAATCCTTTCTTTTTTTGAACTGGAAATCGAACTCAGGACCTTGCACTTGTCCAGCAGGCTCTATGCCACTGAGCCATGTCCTAGGCTTCAAATAATACTTTTAAGAATTGTTTGTTCTACTTTTTTTCCTTTTATACTGTGGAGCTTTCTCTACGTTATTTTGAAATAAAGGTAACGGTACATTTGCTTTTTCCCCTTCCCTGCCCTACAGACCCAAGTCTTGGATTGAGGAGCAGGAGATGGGCTCGTTCCTGAGTGTAGCCAAAGGGTCTGATGAGCCTCCAGTTTTCTTGGAAATCCACTACAGAGGCAGCCCCGATGCAAGTGAAGCACCCCTGGTGTTTGTTGGAAAGGGAATTACCTTTGACAGGTACTTCTTCGGGGTGTCTGTGCTTTATGTTTTGGTGATTGCTTTTTGTGTGGTGATAGTATTTGATGCATGGTTTAATTCAAAGCATGGTATTTGGTCAAATGTTTTATGTTCTTTAAATGTATGAAACTAGCACTTATGACATACTTAAATATGTCAGAAACTCCTTGGCATTTTGCATATGTTAACTTTAATCTTACCCTTTGAGGTAGGTATTGTAGCCATTCTCCTCGTAAGGAAACCATGACTCAGAGAGGTTAAGTCATTTACTCAAAGTACAATAGAGTAGAATCAGAAGTCAGTATCAGGTCTATTTTCAAAATACTATAAAATTTTTCTGCCATATACTTTGATTCTCCTTTGTGACCGTTAAAGTTTGTCTGTACAGAGAGCAGCAGTGTAGCTACTTGTTTGTGTAATCTTCCTCAGAAACTTCAGGTCATTTTTCTTTAGCTAATTTGCCTCTCATTAATCTTATTAAATCATAACTATTTCTCAAAAGTGGAAACTATCCCTGTTATTTCAGCCAATGAGTGTCTGAGGTGGAAAAGATAGTGCAGTTCGGTATTTCCTGTGGGAAGTGTTTACCACTGGCTACTTGGCCAGAAAACTAGGTTAGATAAGGCAGATGAGGGGTGGATTGGCTTGGTTTGGTTTTACTGAGTACAGAATAGAGTGTTTTCTGAATTTCTTTTTGAAGGAATTCATGTTCCAGGGAGACTTTTGGAGAGTACTGCTAAGGAATATAAAATGTTCATTTCCCCAGTACATTTTTGCACCCATTCAGGAACTCCATCTGAAATGTGAATGTTCTGTTCTTTTTTTCCTTTTTTGGTGCTGTGGGTTTAACCAAAGTCTTGCCAAACTAAACATGAATTGTGCAACTGAGCTACCCCACCCCCATCCCCAGTGCTCCTTTGGCCTATGAGATTCCCTTGGACCAGACATGTATTTCTTATTTTGAACCAGTGAATAGGATAATGTTTTATTTTTCCTTTTTTTTTTCTACTGGAGAATCAAACTTGTGACCTTGTGCTTGCTAGGCCAATAGTCTTTAACTCTAGGCATAAATGCCAGCCACCAGATTATCGAGTCTTTCTGAGAGAAGTGAAAAGTAAGACCTCATTTCTTTCTTTTTTAGGCACCAAGTATTGAATCAAGGGCCTCACACATGCTAGGCAGGTGTCGTAGCACTGAGCTATATCCATAATTGAGGATATCATTCCCAAGGAAGGAAGACCTGAGAACAGGGAAAACTGACCTTTCCAAAGAGTCCCCAGGGCAGATCTCAGAGGTCCAAGCCGCTGACTGTCCAGCTTGTGAAACAACTGGCTTCTGGACTCTTACAAATGGGAAGCAGAAAAGTCACTAATTAGAGGGCTATTTGGAGGAAGTGGTGTAGTTTCTTGGCAGCTGCTAGTTAAAACCTCTTTCGACTCTCCTGCTGCAGTGCTGTCTCTGTGGCTTTGTATGTTCCTTATTCCAGTATTTTGCCATCACCTATGGGCATGTCAGAAGGAAATGTTATCCCTCTGTCCTGCAGGTTTGAAAGGAATGTCCCCAGTCTTCAAGCTTGTCAGGTTTCCATAATAACTCATGACCTTCAGATTCAATGAGTTGATCATTTCATAAAATTTGCTGAAAAGATCATTAACTATCAGGATAAATTTAGTGAGATAAAACAGGTGGAATTTGTGCAAAATGAGTATCATGTGGTAATTTTTCCAAGCACTGCTTAAGTTTCATTCAAACAAACAAATTGAGCTATCTATATTTATGGAATTATTTTCTGTATTTTATAAAGATTACAACATGGAGAAAACTAAGATACTGTCTTGGTTACTTTTCTCTTGTTGATGAGATGAAATACCCCAATACCCAAAGTTAAGGAACAGCACTTAGCTCACAGTCCACAGTCTGCTGGCTTGGGGGCTAGAGATTTAGCTCAGCGGCATAAGCTCCTGCCTTGCAAGAGCACAGTCGCGAGTTCAATCCCTGGTACCAATAAAAAAAAAAAAAAAAAAAAAAAAAAAACAATCAGCTGGATCCAAGACAAAGAGCCACATGACAGAGAGCAACAGCTCATGGCAATGGAAAACAACACAAGCAATGAGCAAAAGGAGAGGAACACAGAGAGAAGACTCTTTTTCTGTCCCTTACATTATATGTAGACCACATCCACTTGGTTGTAGCACTCACACCCCTAATCCCAGCATTGGACCATAAGTCATTCACAAATTCTAGAAGACTGCCCCCATGACTGCCTGAGGCTTTGGGGGGACATCCAGACTCAAACTATAACAGATGCTGAATTTAGAATTTAACTTTCTTAGGCAGGTTGTGGTGTTTAACCCTTGGTTTGTATTTTCCTTTTTAAGAAAATAATTCTGGCCTTCTTTGGTTTTAAATGTTGCATGTCATTCTCTTACTCACAGTGGTGGCATCTCCATCAAGGCTTCTGCAAATATGGACCTCATGAGGGCTGACATGGGGGGAGCTGCAACAATATGTTCGGCCATTGTGTCTGCTGCAAAGCTCAATTTGCCCATGAATATCGTGGGTAAGTGGAGCAGAGGTTTGCATTTCACAGAACTGCTGGAATCCAGTCAGAAGGTAGAGCTGGGACATAATCATAGTTTCCTCCCTGTCTGAAAAGATCAAGAGAAAAGGATGGTTTTAAAATAATGTGTCATCACACAGAAGCTGTTGAGCTGTGTTTAGTGTCTGATTTGATTGAGTTAAATGTGTTATACAACCAGTGGGCTGTAGCTGAAATTGGTCTGTTTTACTTCTGCAAAAGGAGTCAGCCATCAGGGCATTAATGTCAGGTTTGTGATTTACTGTGGTGAAAAATGTATAGTAGTCGAGAGCGAGGCATCACTGGCTCATTTACTGATTGGCCCATGGGATTAGGACCAACTGAATACCCGATACACAGAATTTGCCTGAGACAGGAAGAGGGGATGGAGGAGAGACCTGTGTGTGAGTGGTTATTGTTACATCCACTGCATGGGGAAGGCAGAACCGGAGTTCAAGTCTGTCTAACTTGTGCTCTTTCCTAGTATTTTTGTCCTTTTTTTTCATTAGGTTCTAGTTTATCATTGTCCTTATCTTTTGGGATTTTTTTTGTGAGCTATTTGGAAGCACTATAGTTTGCAGATGTCATCCCTGAAAATTTTAGTGTGTCTTCTAGGAAAAAGCACATTTTGTGTAATGACAATACCATAATCTTTTCCAAAGATTAACATGATTACCTAATTTGAATTATCCAATTGTCAAAAAAAAAAGAGTTCCATTGTGATTATACTTAGTTTTTAAATCAAGGAGCCAGTCAGGATCTCATATTGTATTGGTTACCACTTGCCTTAGTTTTCTTTAAACTAGGATCCTATTCCTGGTGTTTTGTTTTGTTTTGTTACCCCTAAAACATTGATAGTTTTGAAGTGTCCAGGCTGGTCTCACGATACTCTGCAATTTGAATTTATTGGCTTGTTCTTGATTAGAATCATTAGACCCTTTATTAAGAATGCTACAAAGGTGGTTTGTGTTTCTCAGCTATGTCACTGGTGATGCTAAATTTGGTTGCTTACTTAAGGTGATGTTTGTGTGTGGTATGCATCTGATGGCTTACTGGTGGCCCATGTTTGGCCCCTATGTGTACTGTTCCTTTTTATATTCTCTGCAATAGGTTTGGCCCCACTCTGTGAAAATATGCCCAGTGGCAAAGCCAACAAGCCTGGAGATGTGGTTAGAGCCCGGAATGGGAAGACCATCCAGGTTCGTGAGTGGAGGACACAGCGCTGACACAAGAGGGTACAGGGTGCAGCTGCATGTTTGGGGACGGTGTGTCTCTAGTGCTGATTAGTTTTCCTGCAGACTCACAAATATTCCTTAATAGCATTTTAAAGAGCACTTTTCCTGCTTTGTTGTTCCTCCTGCGTCCTGTATGCTGTACATACAAACCTGTCTGTGATTAGCTTTTCTCATTTTAAATGTTCATCTGGAAAATACCCTCCTACTTTGTGAGCCCCACGCCTTGGGAATGTGGCAGCAGTGTGGCCTGTGTGTGCATATGTGTGCCCACTGCCCGTGGTGATGGGGCCTCCACTAAGAAGAGTACAGGCAGAGTACAGTTAGGGAAAGCTGCTGACACTGCCTGGGTTCTCAGTCCTGGGGACTCAGGCTTCCACTTGGCTGTAGCTTTCTTAAGCTCTTTAGCCTCTGTTTTTTAGAAATCTGTACATTTTCTCATTCATTATGAACTATATTTTGTTACTTGTGTCAGTGTTACTTTTCTAGTGTCATCAGCCTTAAGTCATCAGCTCTGGTACATTTGCTCTCTGAATTAGATATAGTCCTCTTCTAATTGAAATGCAAGTATGTTTTGTTACTCAGAAATGCTATTTTAGTTTTTTCCCACTTTTAAAGTTATTTTACTCTCTTTTCTTTACCCTCTTCTCTGTAGGTGGATAACACTGATGCCGAGGGGAGGCTCATCCTCGCTGATGCCCTGTGTTACGCACATACCTTTAACCCAAAGGTCATCATCAATGCTGCCACCTTAACAGGTTAGACTGCTCGCTTTTCCTGTTTTTGTTCAGAGGAAGTCATGTTTTTGGGGTGAACTGCACATACTATATTTAGAGCATTATTTTTGTTGAAATCAGACTTAACTCCATTTGCAGTCAAAGATCTTCCCCCAGAAAGAACTGTTCTGTGGTTTCAAAATGTTTGGAATATTGGTTTTTATTTGGTTTGGGTTTTTTTGTTGTTACTGTTGTTTTGCTTTTTTGAGACAGGGTCTTGCTGAGCAGTTCAGACTGGCCTTGAGCTCACTTTATAACCCAGGCTGGTCTTGAACTCCAAAGGATCCTGTCTCAGCCTCCTGGGATTACAGGCGTGCAGCTCCATGCCCGGCCTTGGGTTTGAGGTTTTAAAGTACTCCAGTTATTCCAATTGTAACTTCTAGTATTTGGGTGAAATTTGCTAATCCAGAGTGATGCCTGGACTAGCTGTGGTACCAAGGTATATTACGAGGTTGGGGTGACATTGGGGCTAGCCATGGTAGTAAGGGTTGAGGGTACAGCCTCGTAGTAGAGCGAGCATATGTTTATCCTACAAAGTCCTGGGTTCAGTCCCCAACACGCGCGCGCACGCGCGCGCGCGCACACACACACACACACACACACACACACAGCAAGACGCCTGGCCCATATACCTTGAAACCCAGCTACTTGGGAGGGAGAGTGAGACAGTGAGTATTGAGAGAGGAGGGCCAGCAACTCAGCAAGACTGTGTCTCAAAGTCAAAATTAATAAAAGGACTTGATGTATAGCTGCCTGTGATAGTGACTGGTGTACAGTGGGTGTCAAAAGAATGGCCATTGACATAGTCGGTATTTAACTCCTGCTGGGTGCCAGTGACTACTGAAGGCTGAGCACACAGAGGTCATTTGTGGCCTAGTGGAGTGGATGACAAAACCAGAAAATAACACTGGCAGGTGGCAGGTGCAAGGAAGGAAAGTTAAAACAAGCCCATATAGTTGAGGATCTTGACTGGGTCAGTGTGAGACAGAACACTTGAGCTGGGGCTCTGGGAGTGCAGATAGGGAGGTGGGCCTGGCCGTGGGTGCAGTGCCGTGCTCAGGGTTGTGTTGGGCCAAGTGTAGCAGTAAGGTACTGAAGAGTGCTAAGCATAGGGGAATGGAGATTGTGTTTGCACCGAGGAATGGTCACCTGCCCTGTGGGAATGGTCTAGAGAGGGACCCAAGGAGACGCAGGCCAGTGAGACCAATGAGCTGTGTTGTGGTTGTTGAATTTGGTGCATGTGGAAATGTGTATTTCAAGGATAGCTCCAGACTTACTTAGCGGGTGCCAGATTGTAGATGGTACACATTTGCCTCAAGTTGCCCATTGTCGATGGTGGGTAATGGGTGCTTGGATGTCCTTTATATTCTTTGTTTTGGCGTATTTCTGAAATTTCCCATAGTAAGTTTTTTTAAAAAGTGTTCAGTAGCCCAGGTAGTAGATGACAGTCATGATGGCATAGAGAGGTAGACAGGCATGAGTGATAGTGAAGGGTGGTTGAGAAACTTGGAAGAAGTGACTCGGAAGGACTGGATTGACCCACTGTCAACCAGAGCCATATGTTTTTGTATGATCGGTGCAATTGCCATTTCATGGAAAAACTGTGCAACCCAACACCTGCTGACTCAGTGCTGCCTATTCTGGAGAAGTGCTCCCACCTTCCCCAGGAAGGAGTCAATTTACATCCCTAGTGCCGAGCGGGGTGAGATTGGCCAGAGTGAACACTGCAGTAGGTGACTGGTCTAAGCTTGGTGTACCCACGACAGTCCAACTGCAGGCACTGCACAGCCACTGGAACCCTAACTGCAAAGAAATGTAAAGATACAGGAAATGTTATATGTGGTTAAATGAAGTTTACTGAACAGGTCATTCAGTATCACCTTCAAGTTTCAGCCTTCCTTAGGGGAGATGCTGTGAGTAGTTTCATGCCAAGTGGCAGATGGGAATTAAGGAGTGTGGGACCAGATGCTGCCTGTGAAGGCTCGGAATTTCCCCCAGGTGTTTCCGCTGATGGCCCTGAGTGTCTTGGTACTGTGAGGCTCGTGGTGTGTTCCTGACATCCCACATGGTTGTCCCAGGGCTGAAGAGTAGCGAGGAGTGCCTTTTCCTTTCAGTGACTGTTCTCAGAGCCTGTATGCCAGGCTCTAAGCATCTGCGTAGTAATCAGACCTGTTCCCTGGCCCCGAGCTTATTGACGGGGCCAGGTAAACATCAAATGAGACTGGGGACTGCTGGGAACCAACACCAAGATCAGGAAAGGCTAAGCCTCTGTGCTCCACCATGCCCTCTGGAGAGCCTGGAGAGCTGTGTCCTCCTGTGCTGTAGGGCCTTTGCACTGAGCTACGTCCTTAGCCATTTTAGAACACTGAGGCAGGGTCTGAGTTGCCAGGGCTGAGCTCAAATTTGCAGTCCTGCTTCAGCTTCCCAGAGTTTTGAGATGACAGGTGTGTACAACTGCTCCTACCCACTAGAAATCTAATTTTTAAATTTGATTTTTTGAAAATGGTAACTTAAAAAAAGTCAGCCAATAGGACACATCTTCGTTAGAGAAGGAAATATAGGAAGTAACAGTGATCCAGGTGTAATGGACTTTTTTTGTTTTGTTTTACCAGAGGCATTAAAGTCTTATTGCAGATACTGACGCGTGACTAAGGATGCTGAAAAATCAGAGATGCCTCAGTGCCTGTAGAATGGACTGTTGAAAAGCATTAAAAATATTTTCAACATATTTTTAACATATTTATACTTAAAACAGAAGGATAAATATCTAAAGCATGAACGGGGGAATACACACCTGAACACATACAGTATTCTTGATTAAAGCAATGTTTAGAAGTCCAGAAGGAAATTTGAAAAATAGGAAACAATTGCTCCTGGGTTGTGGCTATTGATGAGTTTTGATACTGTATCCTTTTCTGCATTTTGCTTAACAAAGGTGAATTCTGCTTTGAGAGATATGAGAAGGCATTAAGTAGAGGAGTAAAGATCATCTGTTGTGGACAGTGAGGGAGCCGTGGAATAGAGTTAGAGGCTTCAGCCTCCATCTGAGCAGCAGAGGGTCCCATGTGGCACAGTGACTGAAGCTGACCAGAGCGTTGTGTCTTGCAGGGGCCATGGATGTAGCCCTGGGCTCAGGTGCCACTGGGGTGTTTACCAATTCATCCTGGCTGTGGAACAGACTGTTTGAGGTGGGTCTAGTAAATATGGAGATGATGAATAAACTGTTACGATAAAACAAATAATAGAAGTATTGAGCTCCTGTGTTCAAAGTGATTTTTGTGCTATGGGTTTGCATTGAAAATGGACCACCGCAATAAATTCAACTCTTATAGATATTCCTAAATTACAGGTATGATACCAACTTGCCCGTCCTTCAGCAGCCTCAGAATAACATGCAGATAACTTGAAAACAACATAGCCATTGTTGAGTCTGCAAAGTGGACAAGGGTGTGAGGCGCTTATAAAGGGCTGGAATGGCTCTGTGATGAGAGCAGGTTGTTGAGTCATGTAGGCCAGCCCCCTGGATGGTGACTGAGTGTGCAAATATTAGAATGTCCCCATGTCCTCTCACAGCCCAAAGCACTCCCATCCTGCCAGCCTCCATCCTACCTACACACACACACACACACACACAAACGCTTCAGCTCCCTGCCATCAGCTTTCACCTGCCACAACTGTTAGCCCATTCTAGCCCGTCCCAAGGTAATGTGTAACTTTGTCACCTCTTGGTAACCCGTAGATCTTGACTTCCACCGTAATCCTCTCTTCTGGTTCCTTTGTGTCACTGGCCTGCTTTGGTCTCCTTTGCTGGCTGTTTCCTTTGTCCACCCTTTGGCTGGTGTCGGCCCTTCACCATGTGCTGTTCTTACACTCCGGTGTCCTGGAAAGCTCCCCCGTTTCTGTGGCTCCTGCCAGTACCCCTTGCGGTGGCCCTGTCTCTCTCATGTGCTTCCTTTGGCTGCCTGGCAACTGCACCTGGCATCTCACTCATCGTTTCAACAAAGTCAGTGGAGCTTAACATGGGAAACAAATAAAATGCTGCTAAAGATATTCGTGACGTTAAGGTCTTAAACTGACTTTTCACCCTAGACGGCTTCTCCTCACATCTCTGTCCTCATCGTTTGTGAAACCTGCTCTTGGCCTCTGCAGAATTCAAGTCTCTTGTCTCCTGGGCTGGGCCAGCAACCTGTCCTCTGGCCTCCTACAACCCTCTTGTGTCATTTTTATGTTTAAAATCTAATTATATGTGCATAAACATAATTGAATCATTAACCAGCAGTCTGTATTTTCCTGGAGGTAGCCACTTTCATCCTTCAGCTGATGCATCTAATATGTCCTCTTGTCCTAATGTAACAGCTTCTTGACTTTTCACGTTCAGGTCTTATCTATGGCTCCTTAACTCCTGAGTTAATTAGTCTGTTTATGCAGTAGTTCTGTTGCTGACCTGTAGGCCCACTAATGGCTCAGATACAATTATTTCAGTACACCTGTAGTGCTCAAAAGTTCAGTAAATGATGAGTGGATAATGGATGGAATCCACTTTTCTCTATATCTGATCTTCATACCACAGAGGTGACCAGCCTCATGAGGACTTTCATCCTAATGAAACCCACAAAGTCTGTGTGACCGGTATGGGATACTGGTTTGTTAATTTAAATCAAGGTTTTAATTGCCCTGATTTGGGGAATTATGTCACAACATTCCTGGTTCCTTTTATAGTTCTTAAATAAATGTCTTAATGACTTGAAGCAATCTTGACACCTAATTTATATAGGGTAACAGGTTAGAACAACTCCTCCCTTCATGGATCAGGCATACTGTGAATTTTCCAGAAAGACCTTCATCCATTTACACTGCCATACCTGTCTTCTTTAGGCCAGCATTGAAACTGGGGACCGTGTCTGGAGGATGCCTCTCTTTGAACATTACACAAGACAAATTGTAGATTGCCAACTTGCTGATATTAATAATATTGGAAAATATAGGTATGTAAAATGAGCGAAGCATCCATTTTTACAGTCATCCTTGGTTGCCAAAATGACTATTTTCACAATGTTTCACCCCAGGTTCCTTTTGATACAGTGCTATAAGCTGTGATACCTTGAATTTTCAAGGCATTTCTCCAACAGATTCTCAAATTTTGCTTCTTTCCACTCTTAAAGATCACCTGAAGCAAATAATAAAGGAAAGAAATAGAAAATATGGGAATTCATTACATGGGCAACAGGAATCTAGAATTTATCCTTTAGTGCTTAAAGCTGTATCTGAAACAAGACCTAATAAGGGCTTAACTCATAAATCACTTTGGGAACGTTTAACTCATTAGGCTCTTCCCCATTAGGCCCTGTTATATCACCTACTGTCTAGTGAGAACGCAGGACTCTGAGGAAATGTCTGGAGCACACTGACAGAGCGATGAGTACTCTTTTTGCCTCCTCTTCAGATCTGCAGGGGCGTGCACAGCGGCGGCGTTCCTGAGGGAATTTGTGACTCACCCGAAGTGGGCTCATTTAGACATCGCAGGGGTGATGACCAACAAGGACGAGGTTCCGTACCTGAGGAAAGGCATGACCGGGAGGCCCACCAGGACACTGATCGAGTTCCTGCTTCGCTTCAGTCAAGACAGCGCCTAGTGCAGACACTTGGCAACTGCTTCGTCTGTCCACAGCGGGCAGTTACACTTCGGATAGTTTTGAATGGATAAAAGTCTTTTAAGGCAACAGGATGACATTTTAAAAGGTAGAATAAAAGGAAAATTTGTATGCCTTGATTTGTTTTTTATTTTATGCAAAGATTTATAAAGGTAAAGCTAATGTTGTTTGGCAAGCTTTTTAAGATACTCAGTGTATAACATTTTAAAACTTCCTGATCACTTTCCAGAGTGTATACATTTAATTGAAAGGAAAAATTGATTCTCAGATCTGTGGTGCTAGGAACCTCAGCAAATTAACAGTTACTGTGATTGTCAGAAATAATAAAGCCAACTTTTTGTGCTGTCTGGTTTGGCTCTAATGTTTACACACACACACTCTGGTATAAACCTTGAAACCTTACCATAACAGTTTGTCTGTTTTGGTCAATAAACATGTGCTATGGAAGTCAATTGTGACACAGTAGTATAGGTGTTTTTTTCAATCACTTGTGGACACTCAGTTTACCAGTTGGTAAAACAGTGGCCTGATGTAATTTTGGAAGGAATCAAGCACAAATTAGTAATACTAACTTAACCACTGTGAACTCAGCCATCTGTCAGGCACTGTTCTGAGTTTTTATACACTGAATCCTAGTGACGTAGGTCCTGTTATCCCGTGTAACAGGTGAGGATGGTGGGCAGGAGGTGAGGGAGTAACCTGTGAAGTCAGAGCCAGTAACTGGTAGGGCACAGAGTGAAACCCAGCCAGTCTCCAGAGCTGGCGGGCTTAAACAGTGTAGCTAACGCTTTCAGCTAAACAGATGTGGGACTCATAAAACAGCAGAGTAAGAAACTGGACCATCCAAGGGACTTTAAAACTATTGGCTCAAAACCCCCCAAAATAAAAAAATGTTTGCTCGCCTGCTGGAACTATAACCCATCAACAGAATTCCATTTGTGCAGAATTATAACAAAGCTCTCCTTTTTTTCACTTCTCTATCACATGGATTGAATTATTCATGAGTAGAATCTATGCCTTCCCCCTCTGTTAAGACTTTGGAAATGACAGAAAAGGCTGCTTGTTGCAGTTTTTAACTTTTAAACAGTTTGACATAAATGGACTGCATTATCTAAACTGGCTTAGAATAATGAAACGAACAGGCACATTTGTGATATATCACAACAGTAGTGAACAAACAAGTAGTGAACAAACAAGTCCGCCTGGGTGTTCATGTTCAGGGGATAAAGGAACAACAGAACCCCATGTCTACTTACATGTGGGGTACAGGAGGCTTCTGCCACAGGCCCTAGTTTCAGATGCTCATCTGGTCTGGCTGAGGTGAAAATGAGTTGCCGCTGCGTGTGCATCTGGCTACCGGATACTTCACAGATGCCCTGCTCATAGAACCATAGTCATTACCCCTTAGGGCCCAGCCAGGGCTAGGTGGGTACGAGAGAATCCAAATGAGCAGTGGTTTAGAACACAGCAGTTTTAAGAGGTGACAGAAATAGGGAATCCAAGGCTCAAGGGCAGTTCCATGGCCATCAGAAACCTAGGCTGGGAATTTTCCATCACCACTGGCTTCAGGTTTCCTCATAGTCCCAGGTCACAGCTGGGGTTGAAGGCAGCATGACACTGAGGGGAAGGAAGAGGGTAGGGAAGGAGCAGGAGAAAGGGGTGCAGCTGCAGTTAACACATGTTGAAGTCCTTGCTGAAACCTCTGCATTCTCATACCAAGCACAACAAGGTGAGGGGACGCAAGGGACTTGGGGAAATGCAGGTATAGCAGTGTGCAGTGCTGCTGTGACAGAAGGGAGACATGAACTCATGAAGCTCATGAACTCTGCAGTAGAACATGGATCAGAATCCAGATCTGCAAAGTCCAACCTTTGTACGCGCCAAGACCTGGCCCTGAGCACAAGACACCATCACTAAATAAACCTTTGATATAAAGGGCCAGTGCACATTGTAAGTACAAGGAGGGGAGCGTTTGTTGCTATCTCTGCTCACAAGCTGAGTAAACTGCTGTTGTGTGTCTCTACTGACCAAAGAAGATAACTCGATACAGATGAACTCTTAAATCTTGAGACTACTTGGCAGTTAAAGGAGACTTTAGGATTACAGCAAAGTAAATTCAAAGATACCTTCATCATTGCAAAAGTCAAAGTAGTAGGGGATGTTTTAGTACTTTGAATAAAAGACCCTTGAGTCAGCAAACATGCCATGCATACCTTATGCCAGACATTGCAGTGGGAAGGCAAAGTAAATACACTTTAGTCTTACAGAATTCAATCCAGGATTGGGGAAGAAGAGTTTTGGAACTGTGTTCTATTATTTGGTAGCATATCAACCAGTCAGTGTCAGTTTGGGGCTCTTCCTTTGCAGCTATCTGGCTTTTACCCACTGTGAGCTCTAGGCTCTTACTCATCATCATCCTAGAAAAATATTAGCTTGAACCTGCAGGAAAGTCATATTCAACAAGTTAATATGTATTCCATTCCCAGCCAGCTGGGATTGTTTTCCTGAGCAAATCATGGAATTTTGATAGGACATCTCACCATCTCTCATCTGCCCAATTCAAGGCATTCTCCTCTTTACACTCCCATATTACCGCCTCATTGGTAACCCTGTATCCACGTGTTCTACCTGGATTATCATAAATCACATAACATTGCCATTTTCTCAAGTTACTTGATCCATGCCAGGCACTATAATAGATCTATGCATACAAAATTTCACTCTTAGTTATCATTCAAAGGTAGTGCTTTCACAATTTATCAGTGAAGTAGATTTTTTTAGCAAAATCAAAGTGGGTGATTTATCTGCTAGATTCAAAACAGTTAATGACCTACTTTCTCAGGTAACTTACACTGGGGTTAGGGAAATTGGCTAGTAAAGGTTTTTTGCTAAAGAAGCCAGGTGTGATGGGGCATAATCCCAGCACTTCTTCCCTGGTCCTCCCAAGGGTGGTACTGGGGATTCAGCCTAGGAGTGCGGAGCTGGATGGCCTTTTATTTTAATTTAGAGATGTGTGATCAAACCTGTGATCTCCCCCCCCCAAAAAAAAGTAATAAGAACTAAGGAGTAATAAAACCCAAAATGTGTAAATTTTGTTGTAAAAAAGAGAGGGAAAAAAAGAGCTCTAAAGGATACAACAGCAAGTGTGTTTAGGGGTGTTAAGTGGCTGACCATATTAATGTTTTTGGTTGGATCATTGAACACAACTGTTTGCAGTCTCACTGTTTGAATGTCCACTTTGTATGCTTTGATACTGTGATTTGAGCAACCATCTCTAAGATGATAATATGTAATCTATTAAATGGTGATTTCTTACTTTTTTTTTTTTGTAGTTCTGTATTAATTGTACCCTTACACTGCTTTGTTTTGTTTTGTTTTTTCTCTTTTTCCTTTTAAATAAAATTAAAAAAAAAAAAAAACCTGTGATCTGCCTCAGCCTCTTGAGTGTCTGGGATTACTGGCATGCACTACTGTATCTAATTCATTTTTTTGTTTTGGGAAAGTTACAGCTTTAATAAAAATACTATTTATGTTAACATACAGGTCTATTTTAATGAACTGACTTTTGATTCTCAGTTTTAGTAGGTAAACAGCAGACATAACCCACAGAAACAAAAACTTTGTGATCTTCAGTAACTCAGGAATGTAAAGTGATGCTAGTTTGTAAATTAGTTCTCTCCTGGCCTTTTCTTTTGATTCTTTCAATCAACAAATATACAACCTTTGCCAGGCACAGTTCTAAATGTTCAGGGCCCAGGCAAATGAGCCTGGCAGGCTCTGGTATCCTGGAGTTTGCCTTCCAGCTGAGGTGGAAGTGAGAGCAATTTAGCCAATGAAGAAAAACGAGCAATTCCAGCCTGAGTTTCAGTGCTCTGAAGAAAATTAAACACAGACTGAGGCTGGAAAACGACTTTAAACCCGACTGGCAAAGGGAAGCATCTACGTTTTCGGATCACTTCTGCCCTGGCTCACTCATGGCCTTGCTGTGCTTCCTGAGGTTACTTAAATACACCAGCCAGGAAAGCTCCTAATTCAAGGAACCCTCTGTTTAGAAAGCTCTTCTAGTTAAATTTTCATTACAATTCCAGTCTCAGAAAGGCCTTCCCTAATTATTTATGTCAAAGAGCACCCCTCACTAACTACCCCCTCACAGGGTTGCAATTTTCCTTCGTAGCATTTATCCCTAATATTGCTATATATACGTATATTCATCTCTCCCTCTAGACTTGAGGCGATTTCTGTTAATTCCCAGATCATCAGAGTGCCTGAGACAACAGAGCATACTGGATGGAAACTAAAACTAAATACAGTGAAAACATGAAAAAGTGTTTAAGCAAATTATTAAAATGTGTTCGACTTTCACTTTGATATTACCATAAACACCCAAAGATAACAATAGCAGGCAAACAAGAGTACTCGTTTTGCTGTTTTCCACCCATCCTCGGAATCTGGAGGGAACCTTTCCTGTTTGGGAGCCGCTCGAGCCAGTGATAGATGAGCACAGCAAGTCTTTCTGGAGTGAGTGGATCACTCCTCATTTTACCCACCCGCAAAGTGAGCCCAGAACTCGAAAGTGACACCAAAATTCACCCAATCGCTTAGGGATACCCACAGGGCCTCCTGGCTGGAAAAGAGGAGATCTTAAAGCGGCAGCAACTACTTCCGGGAGCCTAGACCCATCCGGGCAGCGCCCGTCACGTGACCCGCCCGGCTTCCGCGCAGGCGCAATGGGGCGCTCTGGCCACTCCAGACATGGCGGCTCCGCTGGGCGGTATGTTCTCTGCACAGCTGCCGGGGCCCTCGGGTGCCCCGCCAGGACTTTCGAGTCAGCCCTCGCTTCTTCAAGCAGCGCCTGGGGCTCCTAGAAGTTCTAACAGTACCTTGGTCGACGAGTTGGAGTCATCATTTGAGGTAAACTGAGACTTCGGAGCCTGCAGTTCTCCCGGCGTCCCGGAGACGTAAGCTGCGCGTGCGCAGTGTTTCCGCGGTTCCCCTCTGTTTACAGATGGGGATAGTCGAGGCTCCGAACCTAGGATTTCCGTGTAGATTCCGCAGTGAGGAGTGCGCAGTATTCTGTTCAGATCTGCGGATGGGTAAACTCGTTTCTGGAGATACAGAGACTTAAAGTCTGAGCTCCAACCTCGGGACCCAAGCAGATCCCCCGCGGCTCTCTTGTCCCGCCTCTCTGCCCAGAGCTTTGCTCTCAGCGGCCCCGCGTTTCTCTCAGGACTTGGTTTTGGGGTCTCATTTCCTGTGGAACTTGTTTCCTGTTTTATGGCTCCCGCTTCCTTGCTTCTCGTTTCTGTGCGTACCGCCCCTTTAGCTCCCTGGCTTTCTCGTGAGTGGTTCAGATGGAAGGAGTTTATTGAGGGAACCTTGGAGACAGTCTGGCCCCATTCCATCTTTCGCTTCTGGGGAAACTGAGGCCCGGAGAGCGGAAATAATTTGTCCGGAAGCAAGCAGTGAATTTGTGAGGGTGAGCCCTACCATTGAGGCCTCCTGACTTTCCATGTGACAACTATCCTAGGCATACTTGTAGTATGCCTACTTTATAGACTGTCATGCGTTTTTTTCTCCATGCGACTCTCCCGTTTTCCATAAAAGTCAGCAAAAAAAAAAAAAAAAAGTGTACATTTGATTTTTTTTTTTTCTTTTGAGGGGAAAGAAAGGACTAAAATTCGTAGGATTTGTTTTCTATCTACCCTGTTGGTGCCACTGCTGGCTGGGGAAGGTGATGAGGGCACTCCAGCTTTGTGGCCCCACCATGGTTGGCCTCCTGAGTTAGATATTTTCCTCCAATCAGTTTTCACAAAGCAGGCATGTTTTACTAACATCCCACATCCAACCGGAGTGAACTGTGTATTGTGTTTTGTTTTGGTGTGGTAATGGGGGTTGAACCCAGGGCCTTTGCATTGAGCTACATCCCAACCTTTAATAAAGTTTTTGTTTTGAGACAGGGCTGTGCTAAGTTGCTCTGACAGGGCTTGGACTTGTGATCCTCCTGTGTTACCTTCCTGGAGTGCTGGGATTCAGGCACGTGCCACTAGGCCTGGCCAGTGAGCTGTTGGAGTAATACATAGAATGGGCAGTCAGATTTGTTAAGGTCTGACGTGTGGTAGGAATGGGCGATTCCTGTGATTGTCTCTGTAATTCTGATGGGGAAACTAGCCAGGGGAATTGACTGCTTCCCAAAGGGGCCTTGCATCTATTTTGTAATGTGAGTTTGAGCTTGTAACTGCATGTCTTACACCAAGTGTGGTTTGCCCTCTGCTGGTGAGGTTCACCTTCTGTGAATCTGGAGGCTTTCTTTGTAACTCTGTTTTCCCTTAGCTGCCATCCCGCTCTTTTTCTGGCCCAGTTGTTTGTACCAGCCTTTTCTGTGTGTTTTCAAACAGGTGCCTGCATGTAGAACTCCTTGGCTGATTCACATGTGCATTTCATTCAGTGCCCTGTAAGGAGAGCTCCCACATTGGGACTTCATTATCTGTGTGACATCAGCCTTGTTCTCTTGGGCCACCATTAATAAGTATTTGTTTAACACCTGTGCTGTTCAACGTCAAATAGTATCCCAAGCACTTAAGACTGTAGTGGGAAACAAAAATGGAATTCCCACCACCATTAATGGGGACTGATAATAATGCAAAGAATATATGACAGTGTCATTTAATTATATGAAAAAAATAAAATGACACCTTAGGTAGAGCATAATCAGAAAGGACACCATGTAGAAAGACCAGTCAGGGGCAGCCTGTCTGTGGAGGTGATACTTGACCTGTGTTCTGAATGGGTAATAACATTGGTTACTTAAGGGTTGGTGGAAGGGAGTATGCATTGAGGGTATTCCAATCTTGGGGTGGAATGAGATAGGAATGGGCAGGTGGACAGAAATCAAGTGGTGATGACACTGGGCCACTGGGTACTCAGTTGCCAAAGTACAGCACTGTGTCAGACCAGGTACTTTTTTTGGCATGATGTCCTGTCACCTCCTGTCCAAGCCCAAATACTATCAACTTGTTGAATGATGTCAAGAGAAACATTTCTTACTCAGAAGTAAAGGTTTTTGATGTGCAGATGCTGTGTGTTTTGCTGTTTTGTTCACATAGGCTTGCTTCGCTTCTCTTGTGAGTCAGGATTATGTCAACGGCACGGATCAGGAAGAAATTCGAACTGGTAAGAATTCCTCTTTGTAGATGTTCTTCTTGTCTTTAGCAAGATTGCTTGTTGTTGATTTTATGCCTGCTGGGTTGCAGTCCTGCTTGTTGTATCCCAAGAGAACATTTCTGGGGAATAAAATCCTTCATGTTGTGCCTGTGAACCAGTGGGTCTTTGTTCAGCTTACTGACATGGGACACTCCTAATGAACCTGTTTTTTGTTTTTTGTCAAGAGCAGAATATATTTTTTGAGAGAAAGAAAGCTTTTGTCCGAGAGAGAGACAGTAGGAGTCCTGAGTGGCTTGCCAAGGACCCTGTCTTTTCTAGGGATTTTATAGAGCAAAACCATGAAGTGAAGTGGGTCCAAGGCGGGGAAAAATGGGAACTCACAGTTTGGGCAAGGAGTGGGACAGAACTATAGTCAGCCAATAAGATTACAGTGTAGTTGCGTAGGTAAGATTGATTAAATCAGGATCCAGCAGGGAAGCAAATCATGTAGCAAGTGGAAACAGAGATAATGAACTATTTATAGTTTTTATATTGGTATTAGGTAAAAAAGACCAACAGTGTGAACTTTTTGTAAAATACCGAGAGTTGTGATTATGTTTTGAACAGGTGTAAAGTCTGTTATGTTTCTCTCATTCTCTGTGGTCTGTGCCCAGAGAAGCTAGTGCTTGTAATTTCTTTGTACCATATTTTGAGTGTTCCATTTTAACTGGAAATCATAATGCTAATTTCTGAATCTCGGGATTGTTTTTCTTTGGAAAGCCTCCTAGCTTTCATGTTATGTAAGGTTTGTTTCTCACCTGATAAAGGCGTGAACTAGTGTGCACTATTAGGCAGAAAGTTAGCAGCCGTAATTGCTGTGGCCATAATTAAAATCCTGGCCTACACCTGTGAGAAGATACTGTTTTAATACTCTGACTATTCATTTGTGTAATAGATATATATTCCTAGTGTTGTTGTTAATTTAATTTTTTATCTTTTTTCCCCCAAGGTGTTGATCAGTGTATCCAGAAGTTTCTAGATATCGCAAGACAGACAGAATGTTTTTTCCTGCAAAAAAGATTGCAGTTATCTCTGCAGAAACCAGAACAGGTTATCAAAGAGGTACAAACTCAAATTTTTCCCTCAACTTCTAGGAGGAACATATATTGCCAGGATTCCAGTTATCCCTGAAATGAGATAGACCCTTTTCCTGTTGTAGGGTTAAGGGATGTTTTATGGATCAGTGTGAAACATTGCTGATTGTCCGTGTTCACAAGGAATAAGGGAAGCCAGGGAGTCAGGATATGAAACAGAGCCCCACACAGAGCAGCACTGCATACTTGGGTCCCTCACCAGCTGTCATGGAAACTGTTTTAAGAGAAAGTTCTAGCCAGGTGTGGTGATGCACCCTGTCATCCCAGCACTTGGAGGAGGATTGCCACAAGTTCGAGACCAGCCTGAACTACATAGTGAGACCCCTCTCAAAAAGAAAAGGGGGGGTATCCACCTGTGAAAAAGGTTGCAAAGTCTCATTAGGGGAGATCAAAGCGCCTTCTGTGCAGGAAGGGATCTGTTCAGGGTTGAGGAAATCAAAGAGTAAATGTTCTGACCAAGGCTTCTGTGAACTCAGGAGCTCCTTGGTCTGCCGTTCTGACCTGGACACTTAGGGGTGTGTGGACATTGCCATGAGGCCTGCGAGGCTGTGACACCCAGGAGCAGAGGGGATCAGGAGTGAGGCAGAGGAGGAATCCTTCCATGCAAATCCTGCTGCCAGTGAGAAACCCCACACTGACAGTAGCCACTCGGGCAGTTTGTTAAGTCCCAGCTCCAGACCAGTTAATCAGAAAGACTCTTTTCATCTGTGATAGCAGCTGCTGACACTCTGAATGGAAGAAGAGAAGACACCGTTACAGCCCATGGGGTCAGGTCGTCTCCTGATAAAAATACTTGATTAACAGTACAGGTGTGGCCAAGGCCAGGTCTCACAGGAATTTAATGTTGGGATTCACAAGGAGCGCTTGATAATGTAATCTAACCTTTCATAATCTGAAACTGTAGAGCGCTGGTGTGGATTCTTTAAATCTTTCCAGTTCTCAGTGATGTTTGTTCTTAGCAGTGGTCTTTGGACAGAGGTACCTGGTGTCTGAGGATTAGGGTGAGAACATAATTAATTTCTTTTTGGCTGCCCTTGAGGGCTGTTTGAAATCTGTGACTTGTGTTATTAAAGGAAAAATAATTAAAAGTAAACACTCTTGATGTTAGGCTGGTACCTGCCTTTAGAGTCGTTGTTTCTGAATATTTGCATAGTGGATCCAAGCAGAACAGGGGGCTTAGTTTGGTTCCTTGGTTTTGAATTTACTTCTTGGTGCCCTTAACGCACGCGATAGTTTTTGCTCTGACTCAGCGCTGTGACTGCATCACTCTCATCCCTAGGACGTCTCGGAACTGAGGAATGAACTGCAGCGGAAAGACGCGCTGGTCCAGAAGCATTTGACAAAGCTGAGGCACTGGCAGCAGGTGCTGGAGGACATCAACGTGCAGCACAAAAAGCCCGCGGAAATGCCTCAGGGCTCCCTGGCCTACCTGGAGCAGGCCTCAGCTAACATCCCTGCGCCGCTCAAGCAGACGTGAGCACCCCAGCCTGGCCTCCACAGACGGTTGCACGGACACCTCACTGGTGTCCGGATCTAGGACGAGCTCTTTGCAGGACAGGGAGGTGATGTGGGTTTTATGTTCCTGCCCACGGGTTCCTCCTTGGTTTTATGAGCCATTAATGTCTTGAGGGCATTACAAAATGCCTGCAGCTTCGGTAGACCAAGTTAAGTGTCTTACCTTTAGCATGGTTTAGAGTCAGTATGATGACACAGATTCTTTCTTATATCCTGACTTCATTTTTGTGTTTCAATTTGTTAGTTTGTTATAATCTGAGGGGAAAAAATGACGGTAGCCTGAGAATGAGGCTGTAAGGAGTTTGCAGGCTTTTTATGGTAACTACCTTGCTGTGGTAGAGCAGGAAAATACCCAGGTGGGCTGTCAGGACTCCACTCCCTCCACAGAGGAGTCTAATGCAGTGATGTTTGCAGTGACTCTGCAGCAGTACAGGGGGCACGTATTTTGTAACTTGGTCAAAAAAAGATTAGGAGATAATGGGTTAGTGCATTGTTTCCGTGTGGTCCTCTGGGTGACAGGGGCTTTTATTTGGGCTGGTTTATATTTGTGGGGTGTTTGCCCATTTTGAGGTGGGTGGTTACCGATGCCCCTCACCCACTGTAGACTGACTCTGTGATCCCTGGGACATGGCGCAGGGTAATGGTTAAGGCTCACTCTGGTCTCTCAGAGTGCTGCGTCTTGTTTGCTTTTTTACTGTTTGGAGCAGAACATTTGCATTATAGGACATTTCCTGCTCATGGATTTGATTCCAGGGGACAAATGCCCTGAATGCCCCACAGAGTTGGGCATATGTGGAGTCTCAGTGGTAGGGCAGGGTTTTGTCCTTTTGTTGGACAAGGTTTTCCTCTGCTTTCCACAGTCCCCTCCTGGATTCCATCCCTGTACTGAGCACCAGCACTCTGCAGTCCTCCAAGTGATCACAGGGCGGCTCAGAGGTGTGATCACCTCCCACACTGCCATCCACCCCTGCCACCTGCTCCACAGGGCCACCCACTTCAGCCTGGGTGCCACCTGCTCCACAGGGCCTCTGTGCCCTTTCACGTTGGCCCTGGGGTGCAGGGCTGCTGTCTCCTGCTGCCTGCACTCAGGGCTCTCCTGTGTGCAAGGACTTGTGTTGGTCCCTTTGCCCCTTGCTGCGTTGCAGGCCATGAGATAGGTGTCACGCCCCTTGAATGCACATGCTCGAGTATTGCTTTTATGTGTGATTCATATTCCTACTTGAGTTTATGCTTATGCATAAACCTGTGGAGCAGGTGGCACCCAGGCTAGAGTGGCAGCCCAGCGACCTATTACCAGCCTGAGCCCAGCTGATCTAGGTTAGAATGCATGAGGATTAAACAAAGCTCTCAGATTATAAGGTTTTAACTTGGTTATCCCACAGTCTGATCAGCTTCAAATTTCTTGATTAAAAACTGGTTAAATCTGGGGCTCTCTTTCACTAATAGGGATGTGAAAAGATTGCAGCTGGCACACTTTCAATTCCAGCACTCTGGGAGGCCGAGGCAAGAGGCTGCAGGGCTGAGTCCAGCTTAGGGGATTGAATGACTTAGTGAGGCCCTTCTTAAAAAGGGACTGAGGCTCATTCCCAGGACCACAGCGGGGAAAGAAGATTGGCAACTGTGGGCACATTGGTGCATTCTGACATCCTAGCTACTCAAGGCCAAGGCAGGAGGATGCATGAGCAAGGCGATCCTGGGCAACTTAGCAGATCCTGTCTCAAAAAAGTGCTGACCATGTAGATCAGTGTCAGAAGCCTCCATGGAAATGAAAGGGGGTTCAGAAGAAAAAAAGGAAACTGTGTGCTTGGTGTTCATAAAAATATTTTGAATTTGATACATATACAAGTCATTGCCATTTTTTATTCAGTTGAAAACTTACATGTCAAATAAATAAGAATTTTGCAGCCCTGTCAGTTTGTAAATATTTTCTTAACCCTTTAAATGACATCTTTCTTCTCAGTGAGTATGGAAAACTCAGCTGCCCCGTCCAGGGCGAAAGTGACAAGTTGTCCTTCCCCTGGGACTTCCCATCTTCCAGCTGCTGCCATGCCTACCCTATGTGAGACCTGAGTTTCTACCTGTGTCCTGGGCCAGGCCAGTGGCCTCTGCCCATGGCATCCTCTTGTGTCTCCGTCCTCCCGCAGCTCAGGATTCTTGGCTCCCATCAAAACTATTTTCCTCCACCTCAAGCTGTAGCCCATTGCCCTGCCCTCTGTCACCACCCCTGGTGCCTCTGCTCTGCATCTTCCTGGCTGCTGTGTCTAAGGGTTGCCCTAGCTGAGCCCCAGGCCCTGAGCCCATCAAAAAACAGCAAAGGAGCTCCGAGGCCCCCTCTAGGGAGCTGCTGTGAGAACCGCAGTCACACAGCCTCCTGCTGTTCACGCTTGTCCTGGGTGTGGGCTGGGGAACCAGGTGTGGCTGTCACCATGGACTCCTCTGAGGGGCAACCTTCTTAGGGACTCCTGCCAGCTGCCCAGGACCTCCCAGGAGCTGTCCGCCTTCAGCACGGTCTTCCTTATCGCCCTCACCCCAATCACAGATGTCAGACCTGCATCAGCTACTCCTGTCTTTGCTTCTCTCTCCTTATGGCACTCAAGTCTACCCACCCTGGCATCTGGTAACTCGCCTCACACTGGCCACGCTGCTCTGCCGGACAGAAGCAGTCCCAGGTTGCCAGCCTTGCAGAGCTGTTCTGGGTCTGTGATAAATTAAGACAAAACAGCTCCCTTCCTAATTTAGGGTTAGGGTTAAGCCCCAGACCCAGAAATCTGGAGCGCAGACCTGACACTGCACACCAATAGGTTGCAGTCAAAATGCAGGTGCTCTAAAAATGTATGCAGTTAGGGCGAAGGACATAGCTCAGTGACACGGCACCTACTTGGGAAGTGCAAGAGTTCAATTCCCAGTAGAAAAAAAAAATATCAAATCTGTCTGCAGCTGTGTGTTTTAAGATTTATGCAGAACAAGTGACATGCAACTTTAGACTTCTCCAAGAACTCTTCTGTATGTGGAAATACTCTAAAACCTAGGTAAACAATCAAGACCTCAGATACTTTTGCTTTTTTGTTTGTTTGTTTTGGTGCTGAGGGTTAAACTAGAGCCTTACTGAGTTACATTCCTGATAATTACCCTAGTTCTGAGGAGGTAATGCTTCCCTAGCACATGCAACGGCCTGGGTACATTCTCCAGTACCAGAAAAACAAAATGGGATTCACATCTTGTTTGGTTTAGTTAGTAAATCTGCCTTTAACTTGTGAGTTTCTGTTTGAGTTGACATTTCTTGAAATGACGTAGTAGAATCAGCTAATTCTTATTTATAGATGATCTAATAAACAATGTGAACTTGCTTCTCCCAGACTCCCATCATCTAACTCTTTACCTTTCCATGGAAAAGCAAAACAAGTTACAACCTTTTTTGCCCAGATGTTTACCATTTTATTAAAAGAGCAAAGATTTGACAGTGCATAGAATTAAAATCTTTGGGGCCACTTGCTGGGCCAGCACCAAAGCATAGAGCAGACATTGTCTTGTCAAATTGCATTGCTCTGTTGGCGGGAAGATGGCTCGGGTAATGGGGGAGCACCAGGAGCACCGAGAGCAGCCTTCCCGGAGCCCATTAGTCTATCATGAGTCCATGCAGTGGGGAGCACCATGTCAGCAGGCAAAAGGCCCAGACCCGAAGTCCACAGGTCCCGAAGTGCTAACCTCACAGAGCAGGTCGTCTAGAACCATGGCCCTAGAGGACCATCTTGACAGGACTGTCACTGACACCGAGATGTGGGACAGGGCCAGACAGCTATTCTCAGAAAATTCCAATTCAGGATGGCCCCAACAGAATCTTGCTGAACCCTGGCAGGGCCCATCCTGAGGTAGGTATTACCCGGACTGGAACCCGCCTGTCCTAGACCTAGGAAGTCAAAGCATCAAGCCACGCATGCCGCAGTCCGCTCCAAGTAGGTTTGGGTGTGTGTCTGAAGCTGGCCCTCCGATTGATGGTGAGCCCTTCTCCCACTGAGAAGCTGCCCCGATGTGCATTTAGGAATGACATCATTTTACACAGAGATGACTTTTCAAGTGGGGATGACTTGTGTCATAAGGAAAAATGAAAACCACTTTTAAAGTAAACCACGGAAATCACAAAGCCTGCCGTCCTCCAAAGGACAGCCTGAGGGACAGCACATATTTTGGACACTGGAAATACAAAGTGCACATCATCGGCAACATTAGTAACATTTTCCTGTGGGTGCTTTCCCTAAAACACAGCTTTGTTTAATCTTCCCTATCAAGAATTTTTAACAAACTGGAGGTACAATGAAACAGTGAAATGTTAAAGCCAAAATTTGTTTCAGCTGTCATGAATAACTCCTGTGACAAGCAAGTTACCTGGCTGTGGTTCATTCCTTCTGTGTTGTCAGTGTTCTCTGATCTCGGCCACGTGTCCCAAAGAGTGGTTCAGAAGGAAAAGTACTTGGTGAACCACTCCTGGTGGGGGGAGCCCTGCTTCTGTGGGGCCTCTTTAGGCTGGGCTGCTTCACTGTCCTGCGCCCTAAAAACAAAAGAAAGTCTTACATGGTTTTGGAAATTATTCAGTAAGCCACATCACAGCTTATCAAGTGAAGTTAGCCCTTTTTAATTGTTTCCCAGGGAAACAGCTTGCCCATTACTTTGCAAAGAACACCAGACCTTAGCGGCCTCCCTCAGTTGCTAGAAGCAAAGACCCAAACCCAAATGGGAAGGGAGTGTCTGCTTCCTGTTTTGAAAACAAAGTTCTCCATTGTTTGGATTTCCTTTGTCTCACATAAGACTTGGCCTGTCTGCTACAATGAAACCTATGCTACCACATTTATTAGTTACTTGAGGCACAGCTTGAGCTGTGAGATAATGCACCCTTTAAAAAGGCAGGAAAAACAAAAAGGTCAGTCAACACAGCATTACAGTACACTCTGTCTTCAGTCATCTAAGATGCTCTGTATGTTGGCTGAGGCTATGCACTTGGCCTGAAAAGCTGAAAAGGAGAAATTGGGCCACAAGACCTGATGTGTACCAGGCAGCATGGTCTTCATCAGCATTTGTGAAGCTTCACATAAAACATCAAAGTAGCTTCAGACCGGAGGGCATAGTAATGAGAAAAACCTGGGGCAGGTGACTCTACTGCCTCGCGGGTGTGTGCCTGGGGCCCAGGCCTCGGCTCCCCAGCTGTGAAACCGAAGGGCTGGGTCTGGCTCCAGGACTGCAAGTGAGTCAGTCCCTCCAGGTCCCCAAGCACACACACAGCACCTGCGTCCCCGCCAACCCCAGCAGGCAGGGATCAGCGGGCAGGGCCACTGACAGCATGGAGTAGGAGAGAAGAAACAGGCGGAAAAGAGACCAGGAAGTTGTAATTTTAAACCTGTGCTTTTAAGAAAACTGAAGCTTCTAGCCAGGTATGATAGCATGTACTTGTAATTCCAGCATTCTGGGAGGCTGAGGCAGGAGGATTGAAAGTTTGAGCCCAGCCTGAGGGATTTAGCAAGACCTTGTCTCAAATTAAGAAAATTAAAAAATGCTAAAATTGAGCTCCATGTGATTAAAGCCTTCACTTTAATCCAGCACTTGAAAGAGGGAAGGGGAGAGAGGGAAAAGGGAGAGAAAAAAAGAAAAGAAAAAGAAAAACTGTAGCCTCTAGACACAGTTAGCAGAGGTTACAGTGCCTTTTTCAGTCTAAGCCTGTTTTTCTCCTCAGGCTTCTAAATTCCTGAGTCTTAAAGGTCCAGTAAGTCCGTGTTTTTATTCCAGTACTATAAATTCACAAATATCACAGATGTGCACTCAAGAGGAAACCACACTATTAATTGATAGCCTACCTGGAAACCTCAAATTATGCAGGCTGCTTACATTCAAATCCTGCTCAGTAACGGGAAACCTCCCCGCCCTCCCCGGATCAGAGGTGGCGAAGCTGTGGCACAGGAGCCACAGTGGGATGTGAGTTATCAACCACAGCTCGGAAAGGTTCGCCCTCACTGTCCTAGACCACGCCCGAATGCACGGACCAGACCATCATCTCGAGGGTGCCCCAGACCACATCCGCATCCCAACTCCCGGCCGTAATGCGTCCTGTGCTGCGCTTAGACCCCACATCGTGATGTTTTAGAAGGGGCTGTTTCTATCCAGGGGTGGTGGCACGTGCCTGTAATCCCAGCACTCGGGAGGCTGTGGCAGGAAGACAGTTGTGGGTTCAAGACCAGTCTGGGCTACAAAGTGAGCTCAAGTTCAGCCTGAACGGCATAGTGAGAGCCTATCTCAAAAGACACACACAAAAAACGGGGGGATGGGGGGGTGGACTTCATGCGCAGAATTTAAAACACGCCCCTGCATGGAGGACTGGATGGGAAGAATTACTGACTAAACCACGGGAAGATGTCACAGGCCTGGAAGGGAAGCACACTGCAGTGGCTGATAAAGCTGTAGCTGAGATCACCACGTGCACTCCGCCAGACTCACAGATCCTGAGGCCTTAACATTCCAAAATCATCCAAGAAATTTCAAGAAGAATCTTAGTCACAGTGGAGCTACAGGAACACTTCTGTACCCGGCACTGCGGCTTGACTGCTTCTCTCCCACACAGCAGGGTGACGCAGGTGCTGTGTTGTCTTCACTTCCCAGGGGGATGCACAGAACCAGAGGGGCCCAGTGACCCTCCCAAGGCCACACAGATAGGAAAACAGAGGTCCGACCTCAAGGCCAGGTTGGGCCAGGAGCCGCCACCTCCTGTGTGACCCATGCTGGTGTCCTCAGCTAATGGAGTCCATGGGGAAAAGACTAAAGCTACAAAACAGGCCTGGACTTGGTGCCAGAATGAGCACACCCCTTCCAACTCAATTTCCTTCTCACACAGTCTTCCTGTTTGGCTAGATTGTCGCTTGGCCACAGCGGGACTTGTTTTTGCCACTTTCTATGTCTGCCCAAATGCCATTCAGCAGGAGCCAGAACGGATCTCAATTGTCCTGCTGTCCCAGGAGAACAGAATCACAGTGCCCAGCCCTACCTCGAGGTGGCAGTTTTTGCGTCTAACAATGGCGTGGGCTTGTAGGGCTGGCCACAGCCGGGGCTCGGGTCCAAGCTGGGCGACTTAGTGAGTGGAGGGGCGCTGATCCTGGAGCTTAGGTCCCCACTCAGAAAGTTCTTGGCGTAGGAGGCCAGGTTGGGCACGCTGACCACCCGGCTGGGCACCTCCTCCATCTTCTTTTTCTGTTTGTGTCAGAGGAACATTTTCTTAGCACTACTCAAAGCATGCAAGGGGTGAACATAGCTCAGTCCCTCCCAAGCCCCAGGAGGTGGGGAAAGAGGTCAGGACTTTATGGATACCCAGACATACTATTCTTAAATTTTATAAAGTTTTATTTGTTTGTAGTGCCGAGGATCAAACCTAGGACCTCAAGCATGCTAGGCCTCTGGCCTGTACACCTTTAAATAATTTTTTCTCCCTTATTTTGTGTTGCAAAAAATACATAAATCCACACCCAATCTCTTTTGTTTTTTTATCTAAAACTTTTGGGGAAAGACATGCATTGTAATTTAATTTTTTTTTTTTTTGGGGTGTATAAGGCCATGGCATTCTAAACTGGGCTGGGACCTTCCTGTCTTTAAGTGCATTCATATTACTGGAGTAAAACTTACATTTTATCACACTAAGAGGAATATATTAAGAACCATACAAGGTCATCAGGTCAGGTCAGTTCAGGCATTTTTGTCTCTGGGGCTATAAAAAAGACTTAACTTTTGGGGGGCTCTTGAGATCTTGTATAGGAAATAAGAAACTTGAATAGCCTTGTTGTTACACATTCCAAAACCACTGCAGAGAAACAGGAAATGGGAGATTCCTACCATCTCCCTTCTTTCCCATCACCAGATACAACTATTGTAAATAGTGGCACATATTCACTGTAGAAAATCTGGACATACATCAGCCCACAGAAAATAAAAGCCACACATGATCGTCCCTGCCTGATGCAAACAGTGTGTGGGTAGTGCCTGTGGATCTTATCTTTGGTGACTGTGACCCTGAGTGTACACCAGCCCCTCAGTTAGCGCAGTTACCTATAGGAGGAAAGAACCCTGCAGAGCGGGCTGCAGTGATGCCAGTGGAACCAACTGACCTTCATGGAGGGAGTGAGACAGCCGGGGTGAGGGTTGAAGGAGAAGGACCGGTTCCGATGGGACATGGCGCTGGGGAAGGCTGCACAGTGAAACCGCCTCTCCTCCTGGAAAACAACACTACTGAGTCCCGATGGGCCTCAGCACATGGCACTGGGTTCCACTTGCACAGAGGAGGGCAGCATGGGAGAGAAGAAAGCTGGGGAGGGAGGGGAGGCAGCGGCAACCTGGCTGCAAGCCCCCAAAGCTTTGGGGGGCGTCTTGGCTCCTGGGCTCGGCATCCCTGTCCCTTGGGTGCCTGTCCAAGGTGTGACCATTGATCCTGGTCCTTCAGCCTCAGCAGATCAAGAAACCCTCAGTGGGTCAGTGTCGCCTGCCCCTGGGTGAGTCTGGTGGGTGTGGCTGGCGCTGCTCCCTGCTCTGCTTCCCGAGGCAACGAACTGGGCATCTGTGCCCTGCCACACACTCCTGCCATGAGGTCCCCGCCGGGGAACCAGCTGACTACGGACAGCAACTGTGAGCCAAATGAAACCTCTCCTCTGATGAATACAGAGCGTAAGAGTCCAAATATTCTTAGCCTCCAAAATTAAAATTCTAATGTAGAAAGCTGATGATTAAGGGGAGAAATAAAATCCCAGACAGGCAGGCGATGCCACCTTCTTTTCTCCTACCATGCTGTTGTTTGGTGTTTGTACCACAGATTCTCTCTAATGCACTCTAAGGCAGGGAGGCTGGAAACACCCCTTGCCCGTTCCAGCGGTGGGAACAGCATGCCCGAGTGGGTCATGTGTGTTTTCTTCCACTTTCCCTCTTCTGTATTATTTTTAAAGCATATCATTTCATTTCATTAGTAAAAAGCCTTTGTATATATCTCTAGAAGATTAAGGATTCTTTTTTTAAAAAGGTCATAACCACAATGCCTCTCATGCTTCCCAAGTAACAATTCCTTCCTAATATAATCAAATTTTCCATCAGTGGTCAAATAACTTTCTCATCAAGGGGTCTTGGAAGTAGCTTTGGTAAATTAGAAAACAGGTGCTCATTTTTACTAATAGACCAATTAAGTCATTAAAAATAATTTATTGTACTAAAATTCAAAAGCAAACCATTATAAATTATTTTCAAATCCTCTAAGTTAAAAAAAAAAAAACTGAACCAATGTCAGCCATCAAATGCTGTTGGACTCGGAAGTAGAATGTTTTTTCTTTGCCTTTGGTCTTCTTGCATTCACTTTTTAGTGTGTGTGTGTGTGTGTGTGTGTATGTACAGGCACCTGTGTGATCTGGTGTTTTGCTTTTGTTTTGGATTTTTTTTTTTTTTTGCTTTTTTTTTTTTGTTGTTGTGCATTTGTCTCCCTACATAGTGCAGGCTGCTCTTGAACTCACTATGTGGTCAGGTTGGCCTCGAACTTGAAGTGATCCTCCTGCCTCAGCCTCTGGAGTGCTGAGATTATAGGCATGCTTGGCGTTTTTGTTTTTTTAATAATGGATTTAATAAAGGATGGTCTGTAAGACGAAACTGGGGAGTACCCGGAGAAGGGCCAGTGCCAGTGCTGCCCTCTGGGACCCGCAGTGCCCGGCTGGGGCTGGCCAGGTCGCTTGGGGCCTCACCGTGAGCTGTTTGATGATCTCCTCGCGCTCCTTGAGCCGGGCCTGCAGGCAACCGATGAGCTGCAGGTCTTCGGGCCTGGACGCCGCCTTCGCCGGCTTCTCTCCGGAATCCTTCAGTCTGCCAAGGCGGGCAGTGAGTAACTCAACACGCTGGCAGGGGCCCAGGGGGTACGGGGCGCTCCAGTGGGGAGCCCAAGACCCCTGCCAACAGCTACGAGTGCGGACGCTGCCGTTAGCCTGGCTCTGGCGCCATCTGCTGGCGGGCCCGGTGCAGCACGCGCTACCTGGACGCCACGGATGGGGACAGAGGACCCGGGCTCTGCTTCTTCCTGGGTACGGGATCCAGGCTGCAGAGTGTCACTTGTGAGCCTCACTCTAAACGTGCGCCTCAGACACGGTGGTCGTGAGGCCTCAACGGGGCTTTACCCCTCGCATGGGCTGGCATGAGCCTTTGACGTTGACCTCAAGCTGCACAAACTTGGCCATGGTCTCGCCTGTCTGGACCTGGGTCGCTGCCCACAATGGCCTCCCTTTCCCCTAACCCCTGCCCCTTGCCTCTCATCTCTCAGTACCCACAGGCGACCCTGTGACCCGAAATCAGACCCTGCCTCCTGCCCAAAGCCTTGCAGCGGCAGCCTCAGAGCAGGAATAACCAGAACTCCTTGCTTTCAGGGCAGACTCTCCTCCATCGGCCCCCTTCCTACCACTCAGCTGCCATTTCCTCTGATCAGCCACATGAGCCTCTGCTTTCAGGCACATGGAACAGGCCCAGGGCCTTTGCACTTGCCATCCCTTGTCTTTGCTGTCCCTCACTCTTGCCTCCTTGTACTTGAGCATCACCTCCTCAGAGGACTTCCTCACCCACTTTTCCCACCCTGAACCTGTCTATTTTCTAAGATATACATCACTTTCTATGAAGCTAAATGTTTATTTCCTGGCTGAATTCCCATCTAGAGTTTGTAAGCATGACCAAGGCATAGCTTTTTTTAATTTTCCCCTGGTATAATTCTAGAGCCTAAAACAGCACGAGGCACAGGTAGGTCCTTAATAAAATTATTAAGTAGGTGCAGTTATTAAGTAGGTGCAGTTATTAAGTAGGTCCAACAAATTCATAAAATTTGTTGAATGAGTAAGTGTGTGTGCACACATGTGTGTACAGGACCCTCACTTTCTTTAACCCTGGGGAACAATAGCTTCCATCTTGTAGGACCTGTGTGAGGGCCGAGGTGGTGCCTGCCAGAAGGGGTGAACACGCAAGGAAACGCAGCTCTCCTGCCTCCTTTCCAATTTGGGAGTAAACGATGCCCACAAAACCATGCTCTTCCCCGCAGAGCCCCAGGGCTCTCCAGCACCCGCCCCAGCTGGACCTGAAAGCTTCCTGGGACCAGGATGCTTTGCGTGAAAGCCAGGGAGGCCCAGGGATTCCGGGAAGACTCGGCCTCCGCCCTGAGCCCCGCATCTGCACACCGCTGGCCAGCAGGACCCAGGGCTGCAGCACTCACTCGGCCTCCAGCACAGCCAGCCGGGCCTGCAGCCGGGCCTGGGCACCACTGAAATCTGCCACCATGGCCTGCATCTCCTTGCGATGCTCCTGACGAAGCACCTCAGCCTCCCTGGCCCTCTGGGCTTGCTGGTCCTCCTCCAGCATCCTGTGGGGATGGAAAGAAGCGGGCTCCAGGGACCAGGCCCGGGGCTGGGGGTGTACTCTTCACCTCTGTTGAGTGGCTCAGCCCTGGAGAGCCGGGGCACTGGAATCCAAGGTCGGGACCCCAGAGAAGCACAGCTGGGGGCTCCAAGTGGTGGGTAAACTGCACTCCACGACCCCTTCTTGGCACCCTTTCACCCCCACATCCATGCAGGAGACATCTGAGCAGGAGGATGGGCTCCAGGGGGAGGATGGACAGCAGACCTGGAGGGGAGCCCCCAAAACACTCCCCACCCTGCTTGCAGCATGCAGAGAGACCTGGACACTGGGACCCTGAGTCCCAGGGGGTTCCCACTCCAGCCCCAAAGGCAGGTGGGGTGTGGTGGGAGGGGAGGATTTGGGGCTGGCAGTCTGCACAGGCCACCTCTCCATCCTTCTGAGCTCATGCAGGTAGCCCCTGCTGGGTGCCCTGGGCTGTCACCAGGAGGAACTGTGTAAGGTACGTCTAGAACAGTCCAGCACGGCAAAGATGTGCCCAGCCACCAGCTGTCATCTATCTTAGCTCAGAGCAGGCCTAAGGGGTCCACAGGTGACCCCTGGGGGTCTTCGCCCTCAGAAAGTACCCGTGACTCTGTGTGGGATGCTGTCTAACTCAGGAGAGGCCGCATCGCTTTCCTCAGGGGAAAGCGCCCAACTTTCTCGTTCCAAGGACTCTGCCCTCACTGGGTGAGCGGCTAAGGAACACCTGCTGTCTGTCACATGCAAGGCCCTGGGTTCGATTCCTGCCCTGGCCAAGGCCTGAGCTACTACCCAGCTAAAGTTTGGGAACCCTGACAGTGGGTTAGATGTGGATGCCCAGCGCTACTCCAAACACAAGCCCGTCACCCCTTAATTTTCTCATCACATTGTCCCCTAGGCCTCAGGCCATGCCTCTATGGGAGACAGAATTAACAGCTATTTACCACTGTCCCTCTGTGCCAGAAGCAAGTCACCCTCCAACTGTCCCTCGCTTTACAGAATGAAAATTAAACGAAGGAGCGCAACCTTGCTTTACACAATGGACAAATAATGGGGAAAGAGGTCTTCTGGACATTCAACTGACAAAAAGAAAATATGAGCCGCTTTATCCCCAACCCGCGGACGTTTAAAAACTGAGATTAAGTGCACAAACCCCTGAGAGACACAAGCTGCTAGAGCTCATTCAAGAAGACTAGCCTAAAAAGTCCATGTTTAGTGAGAAACTGAATGTGTATTAAAAAACCTCCCAACAAGGCAGAGAGAAGGCTGCGGGTTCAGGATTGGAAAGCTGTTCACTTCCACGAGACACAGCGGTGGGGGAAGCTGGCCGACACCCCCCCCCCCCCCAGCCATCACACTGCTAGGCAAGAACATCCAGCTGGCTCAGCACGCGGCGCCGTGGGAACCGTGCTCTCTCGGGAAGGCTGAGTCTGAGGACACCCTGGCGTCTTCTAGGTCTGATAAACCTCCTGATGCGTGGAAATTGGAAATCTTTTAGTTCGGTTTTGGGGGGGCCCTTCACTCTGAACTACGTCAGGGCTTGTTTATATTTTGTATTTTGAAACAGGGTCTCGCCACATTGCCCGGGCTGAGCTAGAGCTCGGGATCCTCTTGTCTCAGCCTCCTCGCGACTCCCCTGCAGTTTTAAGCTCCAGAGTTCCCAGAGAAGTGTCACCGGTGAAGAGGGAATGCGAGGGAGCCATGGGGGAGGTGGAGGGAGGGGATGGGGGTGCGGCATGGACGGGGCGGGACCCTTCCCGGGCGAGGACGCACCTGCGCTGCTCGCGGAGCTGCCGCGCCTCCTGCTGGAGCTGCTCCGCCTCGGCGCGCAGCCGCAGCACAGCTTCGCGTAGCTGCGCGTTCTCCTCCCGGAGTCCGCATGGCTCGCCCGCTCCGAGCTCCGCCGCGCTCGCGCCGCCGCGGTCCTGGGGAGCAGCACGGGAGGCGTTGGGGAGTGCCAGGCGGAGCCGCGGCGGCTGGGGGGCGAGGCTCCCCTGGGCCTGGAGCCGCCGCAGGCTCGGGGCGCCCGCCAGAGGGCGCCCGCGCGCCGCAGGAGGCCCAGCAGGCCGTCGGGGTCACCGCGGCAGAGGCGGATCAGGGCTCAGGGACAGGCGGGGCCCCGGCCGATGGGCAGAGTCTGCAGAACGGCGAAGGAGCGGCTCCTCTGGGGGAGCAGCGGGGCAGGCCGGGGACGGGGTCTGTGGAGTCACAACGCGCAGACCAATTTTTCGCTTGTCAAAGGGGGAGCAGGGTTTTCAGGAGGGGATGATCCAGTGAGTACCCGGAGCCCAGCCAGGAGGGGGTGGGCAGGGGCAGGGCGCTGACCTCGGAGGTGACCGCGCGGTCCTCGCTGTCCTCTGGACACAGGACGGTGGCCTGCCGTCTGCCCAAGTTGCGCAGCGCCTCCAGGTCTTTCTGGTGCTCGGAGCAGGCAGCTCGCTGCTCTGACAGCTCTTGCCTGAGGGACTCTAGGGCAGGGGAACGCAGCAGGTCAAGGTCAAGGCTGCAGTGGGTCCTGCGGGGACGACCAGGTGCTGCGGGGGACAGAAGGCTCTGCCTCGTGTACCCCAGGTTTAGAAACGCCTGTTGAGTAAGAGCAGTCCATGCTCTGGCCCCTCTGAAGGGTGTTCTCAACTGAGTGTGGTGGCACATGCCTGTCATCCCAGCACTCTGGGAGGCTGAGGCAAGAGGATAGTTTTGAGGCAAGCCTGGGAATTTATGTCTCAAAATAATAAATAAGAAAGGGCTGGTGGTGTAGCTCAGTGTAAAGGCTCCCCACTACCACCAAGAGAAGTGTTCTTGTGTACGACGCCCCACAACCATCTTCCCATGGTCCAGCCTCACTATCTACTCCACTCTAAGGTGAGGCCCAGAGAGGATCGGGTGCCTGTGGACACACCGATCATGAGGCGGAAATCTTAAAATTTATGTCAGTGGGTTTTTTGGGGGAGAAAGGTGGTAGGGATTGAACCCCAGCAGATGAGATGAGTGCCAAACTCTGAGCCCATCCATCCCCAGCCTGTGTCGACTCTTATGGAGACAGAACCCTGACAAGTTCTTGCTGCGTGGCCTCCGGGGTGGGCAGGAGACAGTGCGCCCCCCAGAGGATGCAGGCTGTGCTCCCAAATCCTCCTTGCAGCTCTACCGGGCAAATCGTCTCTATTTTGAGGTCGGCATGAGGGCACAGAGAGCAGTCAAAGGACTTGCCCAGGGACACACTCTCACAGCTAGTGAGTGCTGAAGGCCGGCTTCAGCGCCAGGCAGTTTGGCTCCGGAAATCTTAGGTCTCTGTTAGCTACTGGGATGTTTTGTTTTTTAGGGAGTTCTCACTCTGTAGCTAGGGCGCCTAGAACTCCCTGTGTAGCTCACATTCACCTCAAATGTGTGGTCTTCCTGCCTCAGCCTCCCAAGTATGCTTCCAGGATGCTGCACGTGAGTGGTTTTCCATATGGGGAAAGAAGAGGGGCTGCTTTTCTTGCTGGGGATGCAGAGCAGCAGGCAGAAGAAGAGGAACTCGGGGGCCTGAGTTCCCCCAGCTTGTGGAAATCTTCAGAATGGAGAGGAGAGGCCGAGGCCACCAGGACACACCTGTCTGCGCAGGCTTGGAGGTCAGGCCGAACTCAGGACAGAGTGTGTGTGCCCAGCACTCCCCCGCCCCAGGCCTTAAACAGCTCACAGTTTAACAGCGGTTAAACACGCTCCCTGCCGGGATGCAGGGACCACAGCACAGCACTCTGGCCGGGTCTCCGGGCCCCTGGGTCCCCTGTGCACTCTGTGCTGGTGGGTGTGTACCTAGCAGCTGAGCCTGCTGCGCCTGTGTCCTCTCCCGCTCCTGCTGCAGCTCCTGCCTGGCCTTTTCCTCCAGGGCCTGGAGCTCCAGCCAGTGTGCCTGGTGTTGGATCTGGAGGCTGTGGCTATATTCCTTCCTCAGGCGCTCCTCTGTAGCCTGTGGGTAGATGCAGGAAGAAGTAGGCATCACTCCCATGTGAAGAGCTTACTAAGCTACCTGGGATGCTCGAGTGATCACCTGACCATAACACCTGTTTTGTACCAGGTAGACTTCTTCCCACAGCTGATTGAACCACAGTGGACACTTGTTCCAAGGTAGGTCAGTGAGAATTCTTTCACTGGGAATTTAGTGTCAGGAGGTGCAGGAGAGGGGGAGTGAGAGAGACTCACAGACTGTGTGGCTGCAGATTAACACACAGGAACACTGAAGTGGGCATTGTACGTCTTCCCCAGGATGTGTGCATGGAGGCCCCTGACTGTTGGTATCTGCTGATGCTTATGTCTGTTGTCACCTTTCCTGGCAAAAACTGCACTTTGCAGACATGATTCAGCTAAGGATGTGGGGATAGGATATTACTTTCATGGAATAATGTGGGAGGGCCTTGATCAAGGAAGTCAGGGTAAGGAGGCCTCGGGAGGGGCATGGCGGAAGATCTGATGGGGGAGGAGAGGAGAGCAAGGGAGGGTTTTGAAGGCGCTGCGGGGCCCCTGTCCCACCCCGGGTCCTTTCCTCCCCCTTCAGGAGAGATGTTGCTTCAGGACCGGGACCACAGGGAGAGGATGGAAGAGGCAGAGCTTCCCCCAGTGCCGGGCGGAGGAGCAGGGCCAGGAGGTGGAAGGTATAGGGTGAACCCAATTCCCTTTTAGGGGCAAAAACCGCAGCTCGCTGGAAGCATCGCCTCATTTTTGCAGACGCCACGGGGCCCAGTTTTCAGTGTGAAAATAAAACATCGAAGCTGGTCTTGGAGTGATTTCTGAACAGGCTATGGTGGGAATCTAACAGAAATGCGCAGGAGGCCCAGGAGCGCTACTTTCTGTCAGATTTGATGTTTGCAGTGATGGAGAAGGACTCTCTTTCCTAAATGTGAAAACCACCAATAAAAACAGAATGCTATAAATTGAGTATTTCCAAGGGCCATCCCTTTACCAGAGCGGTGTGTAAGCAAGAACAAGCTATATCGTGGCAAGCTGTGGGGTACGGGTGTAGGCTGCGGCCCTCAAGTCACCAGCGGGTCCACGTTGCAGCTGCAGCCTTTCAGGGCAGAGGGGTTTGGTATTGAGGTGGTGGCTGGGTCGCAGCTCCCCAGACCCTTTGGAAGCGCTACTGTGGAGCTGATCTTTCTCACTGGGGTGCTGCCCGAGCCCCAGCATCGTGGTGGTGGAGTACAATGCCAAGGTCAGGGACTCGATCATTCTTGTGTCACCATGGCCACAGCAGTACAAAAAACCCATTCCCCAGCTTTTCCCCTGACTAGTGGTGTGACCTTCACCAAGCTACTGGGTCTCTCTGAGCCTCATTTCTATGTGGAGAAGGCAGACGAGGGCCTGGCCTTGTGTGGTTAGCCTACCTTGAGCTCCTGGGCTTTGGCCTTGTCAAGGGTGAGCAGGGCTCGCTGATGCGCAGCCTCGAGCTGCGCCCGGGCCGCCTGGCCCTGCTGCAGGCTGTCCTGGAGCTCGCACCGCAGCTGCTGGCGCTCCTCCTCAGACAGCTGCCTGAGCTCCTGCAGATCCGCACGGTGGGCGCTGGCGCACTGCTCCAGGGCCCTCTGCAGCTGAGACACCTGTGGGGGAGCAGGGGCCGCAAGCCCAGGGAAGTCAGAGGTCTCCCCAGCTGGGCCAAAAGTGCACTGAAGGAGGGGACCACGCAAGCCTTCCCTAGGACAGCTGCAGGGGACCAGCATATCCACCCCAACCCCTCCCCAGCCACAGAGCCTCACTACCTTAGATGTCATGCTCACATCTCCCTTTCTCGGTGTCCTGGATCCACTGGTGCCACACCCTCCTGGCCTCCCTTCCCCAGGACTTCCTCCCTGCCACCGTGCCCTGAAGCCCTGACCACCTTGCAGCAGACTGCGTGGCTCACATTTCTTACTTCTAGTGCTTATTCTGTTCTCAACTCTGCTAAAATACAGACTGCCCCCCGCCCCTGCCTCTACTAGTGGGAGACCGGTGCCAGGAGCCCCCTGGGCACCACATGAAATGAGATAAGACTTGCATACAGCCCACATGCATTCCCTGATATATATCCGTCATCTCTGCTTTACTTATTATATGTAAGGAAGTATAAATACTAGCAATTTTCTCCTCCCAAATATTTTCCATCTGTAGGTGGTAAATCCACAGATGCAAAAACCAAGGGAACCGAGGGCCGGCTATGTATTGTCTGTTCCCACCTCTTTACATGCATGTCCTTACACATGCGCACGCATGTGCGTGCACACACACACAGCCCTTGCACAGGAAATACAAGGAGTTTGATTTGGTGTGGTCACTGGTGTAATGTCAATGGCTCATGGTGATACTTTTTAGCACAGCAGGATTTGAATAAAGAAACAAACCCAAGACACACGCCTGCCTTACCCTGGACCCGATGCCCTCCCCTGCTGAGCTCTGCACGGAGGGTGGGGGTCTCTCTCTGTGCAGGGCACATTCCCACCGGGCTCACCCTTCTACCTGGGCTTGCAGCCGGGCCTTCTGGCTTTGCCAGTCCTCCTGTAGACACTGGATTTTGGGTGCCTTCTCCTTCAGTGAACAGCCCAGTGGAGGCTGTGGGTCACTTTCCTCCTTGAGAGACTCTGTGGTGCTTTGAAAATAAAAAGGTCACTGTCACCAAAGACCCTAGGGCTTGGAAGGCCATTGCCACCCTGGCTCCATCTCAGCCTGTCTGCAGGGAGGAGGGAGCTCCAGAGTGGTTAGTAGGGTGAGATGCACCTTGCTGGTCTGCTCAAAAGCAGCCCGACAGACAGTCTAGGTATAATTGCACAGGAGTCCGCAGGAACTACCAGACACTTATTTTAGTGGGTGCTTCGTAGAAGAGGGCTGAATGTGGTGTCTATGCTGTTTTATTGAAGCAGCCCAGCTGATTAAAAATACAGAGAGCATATTATTCTCTACCCGTCAATATTGGCTTGGGTCCCGTGACTTGTGCGGCCATGGGACTTGGGTGTTAATGAGTGTGGTTCTCAAAGTAGAAAGCTGTAAGAGGCACAGCCCATTTCCACCGGTTCTGTGGAGCTCCTTCCCCTTAGGATAACAGCAGCATGCCCTAGGTAGGGCTAAGCCCTCAGCTGGGGACCCTGAAAGCGAAGGCATGTGGAACAAACTTGAACTCTAGTTTGTGGCCGAGCAGTGACACCTGATCTTCAGCCAGGAGCCAAGTAGACCAAAGCGCAGCCCAGCCCAGCCCAGCCTGACCAACCCGAGCATAAAGTAGCTCATCCATGAGCTGAAAATCACTAATGTTCTTAAAGATACTTTTATAGCAGCAGTACTGACTTATATAGGAGATATACATGGAGAGTTCCACTGGGTGACAAAGCTCCCATGTGTCACCTAACTAGAGAACCAAAGGTTCTGGACCAGTCCAGAATCTTGGGCTGGATTATTCAACCTCTTTAAGCTTCAGGTTCTTAAACTATCAAAGGACCTCCTTGGGTTGGTGTAACAGTGACATAACTTTATGCCAAGCCCATAGCTGTGCAGAAGATGTACAAGACATGTCTGTTTGCTCCCTAAGCAGGACACAAAGGGCAGTGATAAAGATTTGACAGATGAATGAATGAATGAATGAATGAATGAATGAATGAATGCAGCCTTCAAAGACTGAGCCCATCAGAGCCCAGGAAAGGCTGCCTGCTGCGTGTACCTTTCCTCTTCGTCACTGCTGGTTTCTTCCTCAGCTGCCAACTTGCCTTGATCTTCTCTGGGCAGCACCTGAGAAGGTTCCGTCATCTTGGAGCATGGATCCTAAAGTAAGAACAAGAGCAAGGTGAGATCAAGCACAGCTCCCTTCTCCCGCCTGGCTCCTTCAAACTGGAGAGCGGAGGAAAAGGTCCCCGAGACCGCAGGCTGGAGTGACGAGGCGTGTGACGATGAAGAACTGGTTTGTGACCAGTGTCAGCTCTTAACCTTGCGTTCTGATTTTCAGTCTGCCAAGCAATTCACGTGCCTGGTGAAAATAAAACCCGGAAAGACTGAGTGACTTTCCCAGGGCCCCAGCATCAGTAAGGAGTTGAACCGCGCTATGCAATCCAGCAGTCTTACCCTGGGATTCCTACTCAATTCCTTCATGATGGGATCCTGTGAGACCTGCAGAAAGTAGCCCTGGGGACCCTGATTTGCCTTGGGGCTAGGGTAAGGGTTAGAGGTCAGCACAGTGGTGAGTGTGCGCAACTTTGGTGGAGATGATGATGACGATGACAACACCATTTTATAGGCTGCACCATCTCATTGCATAGTCAAGAAAGCGTGGACCTTAGCCAGTGTCCAGCAGCACTGAGAAATGGGATATGCAGGGGAATACACAAGTGATTAAATAATAATCCAACCGTGTGTGCCCATATTATGACCATTGTCTCCTTTCCACAGAGCCATGAAGGTGAAGAAGACTGTTTTGATTGTCTACTTGTCATAGTAACCAATGTCCACAGAAAACAATATGATAAGACAAATGGGAAACAGATTTGTTTGTCACCAAATATTAAATAAAGACTAAGTGCAACCCAGGATTTTCGTAACTACTTTCACAGCCTTGAGCCAGGGTCTTGACTTTTCTGGAACAACTCACTGAGGAAAACAGAGTTGGGTTTCAGACTGTGTTCTGCAGGCTCTGGGGTGTGCGTCTCAGGGCCTGGGGATGGGAAGGGGCAGAGCTGAAATGGAGCGGGTATTCCTGGCATCCTAGCCCCACCGGCCCTGGAGCAAACGGCTTTGTGCTTTTCCGTGTCCCCTGAAAGGACGTGGTGTTGGGGGAAGGGATGACACCTACGTTACCAAGCACATGGTCAGTTCTCCAGCCTCAGCTGACTGGGCCTCTCAGCAGAGCTGGAACTGTCTGATCCCCCCTTCGTGACACAGCCCTCTCTCTCCTAACGTTCTCTGTCCCACTTCATACCAGCTACTCCTCCTCAGTTCCCCTGCCAAAGCTCCTCCTGCTTCTACCCTAGACCTCGGGCACTGGCTCCTTGTTTCTCTCCTTAGAATCTCATCCGGTCACCCAATCTCATGCCATTAAATGCCTCATTCGTACTAGCTACGTAAGGAGTACTCAGTTCAACATCCTGTGGGATCATTCTTTCCTGACCATCTTTTTAAAAATACTACCCCTTGCATTTGTTTGCTTTTTCCAAAAGTACAATCTCAGTCTGATTTTGTCTACTTGTTAACTCTCTGTTTCCATCGCTGGAAGGTTAGCTCCATGAGGTCAGGGACTCTGCTCTGTACACCTGTCTCCCTGAAGCCTGTGTGTGACCCACAAGAAGCATTCCCAGCATGCTCCTGGGCCATGTGACTTGTCAAGATGGAAGTGAAGCAGCGATCTTTTCTCTCTCTCCCCCGCCTCAAAGGAGCAATAGCTAAATATAAACTTTTTAACTGGCTCCCACGTTATTCCAGGTCAGTTCCTAAATCAACCTAATTTCCTACTTCATTCCTAGCATTGGTTTCTCTGATCAAATTTAACCACACACCATATCTAGGTATCCTTCAAGGTCCTTTTCAGCTGTCACGTTCTCAAGACTTCCCACTCTCTTGCACTGTGGTTACATTCTCTGCTCTTGGAATTTCCATAACAGTATTCTGTGGTCTCAAAATTTCATAAGCATTTGTTGGCTCTGCCAAGCACTGTGCTTGGAACATAGCAATAAATGGATTAGACATAAATGCATCTGACTTGTGGGAGTCGTAGGTGCATTTTTTCTTTCTTTCTTTCTTTCTTTCTTTCTTTCTAGACTACAAAAATGTTAAAGTACTCTCAGATATAGTTTAAAATCTTATAAACCCAACAGCCAGTAATTAAAACCCATTGGCACAGATGTTTTTTCATAGCCCGTATCTTCTCTGTATGTAACTGGAAACTGAAGTCCAGAAATTGATGCCCACCAATCACAAGGTCCATAAGGTTAACTCACAATGACAAATCACAATATCCATGGAGACATGAGACTAAAAAGTCCATCTTTGCCCCCAGGTTTCAAGTGTTTGGGGCATTAAAAATGTCTCATGATTGCCAATTCTCATAAAACCCAGAAGCAAATATCATGACCTAGACAGAACAGCTTTATGAATGACCTGCTATAAATACATGTTCTGTGTAAATCTGGGGAAAGTGCATGGTGAATCTGAGACAACAAAAGTCAAAGCAGCACAGGGTACAGTAGCAACACTATGTGAGATACAACTCATTAGGTCCAGACTTCGAATTTGATTTAAAAATGTTAATAATTTAGAAAGCATGCAATATATTCACAAAAACAATTCTAGTATCAATAATCACAACAGATATGAACTGGCTAAGTTCAATATGTCAACCTCGCTTGATAAGAAGGAGTCCTTTGGAGTGCAGACGGGGGGAGAACCAGGAAGCAAGCAAAGCCCTTGCCTGTTCATTACATCTTGTATTATATAATACAAGATGTAATGCTTCCAAAAATAGTTTAAAAAATTCTTCCTATGTGTGAATTTCTACATGTATATCTATCCTCTCTGTATTATAGGGAAAAAATCATAACAAGACAGCAAAACAAATTCCTAGAAAAACATGCAATGAAAAAGACACATAAGACCACAATATTAGGTGATCTACCGTAGTTACTATGCTTTCTCTTGTTATTTTCAATAGATTTGTTCAAATCATCAGGCTTAATACATTAAGCATAGTATTACATAGCTATTTTTATAAAAACACAACTTTGAAAACATTGTAGGACTGGAGAGGATAAGGATATCTTTTACATCTTGTCATCTTCAGAGTAGTTTCCTCTACTTTTAGACTTGATACTATCAAGCATACCCAATTCGAATAAAATCAGCCAAGACAAAACCACAGTCTAACAAACCAGATTCAAATAATATCAGTCATAGTAAGACAATGTAAGTAATACAGGGTTTCAGTTTAAGCTAATAGGAAATTAAGGATAGTTACCATGGTATAACCTGCTATTTTTGGGTTAGATGTCTGTGTCCTCAAATCTGATATGAGTGGACAGACTGGAACAAAATAAAATCAAACTAATCAGAGCAATAAGACTACTGTGACTTTTAAATCCTGATACACTATTAACACTGTCCTCTGCCTTCCCTTTTTAGGCTATTTTTCACCTTTCCCCTTCTCAGGATGCTTTGTATGTTTTGGGTCTCACTAGCCCTTTAGTTTTTAGATTAGGGGGACAGCCCATTGTCTATCTGAGTGTTGCTGAACCTTTCTACCCCTGAGCTTGATCTTGAGCTGTACTTCTTTACTCACTAAAGTCACAGGGTTTTCCAGCTGTGTAGTTCTACACTGCCCAAAAGTGTCATAGTTTGCCAATCTATCTGCAGCTGCTGGATGAGTTGTCCCTATTTCTCTCTGGTTTCCTGTCACATATACCTTTGCTTTCTCATCTTTGACTTTCAGTTTACTAACCCTCCTTCAGGTTGAGTGTATTTCCCATTCAGAGCATCTCGACGGAGCCTGCCTCCTAATCTCTACTCTGCCTGTTTTTTTTTTATTTTAGTGTATCAAGGCTGTCTATATTAAAGATTATAGCTTACCGTCTCTGCCTCATGTCTGCTACTCCGCTTTACTGCTATAATTTGCCCACCTTACTCCCTCATTCCACTGTCTGCCCTGTTCATTGAGGCCTCTCTGCCACTGTTGCTGGAATCCTGGTATCCCTTCCTCTTTCTGTCGGGAATGTCCTTCAGCACTCTCTGTAGGGTTGGGTTGGTGGCCATGAACTCCCACAGTTCCTCCTTGTCTTGGAAACATCTTATTTCTCCATTAATTTTGAGAGAGAGTTTTCCTGGGTATATCAGATTGGTTGCAAATTATTTTCTTTCAGGGCTTGAAATATTCCCCCCAGGCCCTTCTCAATTTGAGAGTTTGTGTTGATATGTCTATTGTTAGTTTGTTAATTTTCCATTGTATGTTATCTGCTTCTTTTCCCTGGCTGCTTTTAGTATTCCGTTCTTTTGGTGGATTTCTGGAACCTTGATTATTATATGTCTGAGTGTAGATCTGTTTTGGTTGTAGGTGGCTGGAGTTCTGTATGCCTCATTTATCTGGATATCACTTCTTTTTCCTATGCTTGGGAAGTTTTCCTTTAATATATCTGTGAATATTCTGTGTAGTTCATTTTTGGTTACTCCTGCTTCCTCAGTCACGTGCTTTGTTCTTAAGTTATATATCCTTTTGTCGTCTTCTAGCCTTTGAATTGTTTTTTTCTGGTTCCTCATTATTTTTAAGGGGTCTTTTCTTTCACGATAATATATCATAAATCTCTCTTCAAGTTTCAAAAGGCTAACTTTAGTTTCTGTCAAGGCATTTTGCTAGTTTTCAATGGAGTTTTTAGTTTCTTGGTAATCTCTTTGGATCTGTTTCATGTATTCTAGGTTATATTTAAATTCTTCATCAGAGGTTTCTCTTTCTTTTCTGATTTCCTCCATTCTTCCATCTGTGTTCTCCTGGGAGGGGCTTATCATTTCTTTAATTAGTCTCTTTATAGCTTGCCTCACTTGGATCAGAAGTACAGTTTTAAATTCATCTCTGAGGTTATGAAGGTAGTTCTTTATACCTGCTGATGCTGTGTCTAGTATTGGATGGTTACTGTGCTGATTCTCCTCTGTATTTACTTCTCCTGGGCTTATTTTCCCAGGTTCGGCAGCTGGAGATTTTTTTTGTTTCTATCTCTTGTCATGTTTCTGGTTTCTTTCAGACTGGTGTGTCCTGGAGGGGTCTCTGGCCCACTCCGTATTGCTTAGGGTCTTTC